AATACAATAATTAAATAAAATAACAATTTGACAAATAAACATACAATCACAAAAATCAATAGACAAAAATGCACATAGAATAAAATTTAAATCCCAATTTTATCCTTTTTAATTTTAGGGGTATTACAGGGTTGGCTTAGAGTCAAGGGCTGAACCAAGGAGGAGGTGTTGATGCATGCTCATGGATTGAATTAGGAGCAACAAAGGTCAGTAAAAACAACTAAGGTCGCCGGAGTTGCTAGAGACGGAGGTTTAAAGGTTTCTGAACTGAAATGGGAGGCAAGTCTTGTTCTAGCTCTTTCCCTTTAACTTGTGTTCTGTGCATGCCTAGGTAGACTCCAGGGCTTTAATGGATGCTAAAACAAGTCTTTATTGCATGCTTGAAATATTTTTAGTTCCATTGAATTAAATTGATATGCGAATTTCTGTAATCTCTATTAACTGGTTCCTACCGTTGTTGTGTTTAAACTGTGTTTAATTGAGAACCTAGATGCATATTGATGTCTTAAAAATTAGTCTGGGGCATTGATTGAATAATAGAACACGTAGTAAAAGATTTACAGAGGCCTGGGTAAACTGAAATAGCTTTGTTGGAATTAAACTGTATTACAAGTTCTTTCAGTTCGGTTAATTGATGCATGCTTCGTTTAAGTTTAAGCTTTGTTTAATTGATGTCTTTGATGCATGTCAATGCTTTATAACTGTTGTGGGACACTAATTAAACCTTAGAGCAAGTATTAAAACAAATACAGAGGTCGTGGAACACGCCGGAGTCGAGGAAGACGAAGTAGAGACGGGGAAACGGCTCTTAGGGGTGAAAGAGACGGCTCCCAAAAAAAGGAGCCGCCTCCCACAATGCAAGAGCCGGCTCCCACATGTAGGGAGCCGGCTCCCAAGGGTGGGGAGCCGGCTCCCATATTTTGGAGAAGGCTCTAAATTTTTTTGAGCCTTCTCTTCCTCTGAAACGCACTGTTATGTATTTTTAGGGTCTGTTTGGTCGGTGCAGGGTATTTCTACTTGGTTTAAAATATTTTAAATCATGTGTATGAATGTTGTAAACCTGTAAAAACAATAGGGAAACATCAATTCATAATTTGATTAAGGAATGGAGTAGGGTGAACCTGAGGAAAAACCTGTAGGTTGTGCACTGTTATGGTTAAGAAATTTATTACTGTAAATTGGAGATTGTTTTTATTTATGATTTAAAGCTGTGAATCATATTTAGATAGAGTTATAAGTATAGTGATTTACCTGAAATTATCTATGCTTTGTTTGGATTAAAAATTGATATATGTTTGCTATTTAACTGCATCAATTTATGGACAAGTTGGAGAATGTAAATGCTTAGATTATTTTAGCAGTTTACATTATTGGAATGTTATTTTTAGGCCATATATTTAATGCCTAATACTGATATATTTGTATTAATTTATATTGATGCATAGTGTGGAGTATGATTGATGAATTACTTAATATTGTTTAATCAATTATATTATGTGGAGGTTTGTATGCACCGGTATGGGACGGTGGCATACTAGGGACGGCTTAATTCAAAACACTAAGACCTACATATGCTAGGGACGGATTAGTATAAAACACTAAGTCCTACCTATTCTGAAATAAGTTGGATTAACTACAAAAGTTAAATCCTACTTATATATATGTATATGCATCGGAATGGGACGGTGACGTATTGGGGATAGATTAGTTCAGACACTAATTCCTACCTATTTTGAAATAAGATGGATTAACTGCAAAATGTTAAGTCCTACTTATAACTTTGTGTCAGGTCAATAAACCTTTTGAATGACACACCTTGAACGGACTTTATATATTTATGTTATGGTGTCATGGTATGAGCTTGAGTCTCAGGACTATGGTTAGGGTGCGTATATCGCCTAGGATGGATAATTGGACAGTGGTTTCTATTCCCTGGTAGGTCCAGATACACATGACCACAGTATGTGCGATTTGCATGGTATCTCTACTCAGGCTGAGACGTACTGCTTGGACTAGTGAGCGTCCTATAGTGTGTAATTATATATATATAGACTACTCTAGATATTGTTGAGCTATCTAGGATGTATCTGCGTATCGGGTTTCTGATTGGATCGTAGTAGAATAGGACTTGCATGTGGGCCTAACCCACTCCTTTATTTTTCAGGTGTTGTCAGTTCCAGGGCTAGAGCTTGGACGTGCAGAGCAGATACAGACACTCACTCCTCCGATAATGTAGGATTTCATTTTATATTCTAGATTAGGATTTTATCTTCAGCGGATTATTTCAGCTGGATTTTAGGGGTCCATTAGATGGATTCCCGAGTTTTATCTATTTTGGAGATTTGGATTTTTATTAATCTTTATCATTTGGAGGATTTTAAATTTAGTATTCTTTTCAGCTTTAATATTTATTTCGTAAATCTATTTTGTAATCTGTGTTCGTTTATGTATTAATTATTTGGTATCCCTCGGATCTGTGCTCGGACTTAATCACCCGTAACTCTAGAATCGAGGGGTATCACATTGCTCCTTTTTAAGAAGGGAAGTTGATTTGCTCGAGCGTTGTGAGCTCTCCCTTAAATAAGGGAGTAGTTAACCCTTCGTCTCTTTACCGAGGGAAGAAGATAAAGTTGACCCTTGATTCCTTTATGGGGGAAATAGACGTAGTCTGAAGGAGGGTGACTCCTTTAATACGAGAGATAGTCATCTCGTCACTCTAGTAAATGAATGAAGCTTTAATTATCTCACCCTTCTGTGTAGAAGGAGTATTCGACTTCTTGTCCCTTTAATGAGATAAATAGATTAATATGAGTTAATATTACCACATAAGTAGGTAACTGAAAACGTAATATTTTATTGCATAAAAATTAAGGATCATCCATCTCATTGGTGATGGCGACTTTATTGGAAAACAAAATAACACGTGAGGGAGCTACCCTCTATGTAAAATGATGAACTGAGATGCACCCAGTCTTTATTTTGAATGACTTGATAAGGCTAAGTCTACTGTAAGACATTTGTTAATCGATATACTTATCTGAGTCCTCCTCACGATATGTCCTATCGCTTTGGCTAAAGAACGATCTTTTATAGCTGGTATCCTTTTCATTCCTGGTGAGAGGGGTTGACCTTTTCTTGTTTTCTCCTTCCTTTCCCTTCTATGCATTCATGGCGTCTTCAGCATTCATGTGTTTCTGTGCTCTGATCAACAACTCTGCCATACTGATGGCGAACAGGAATCTGGAGGTTTGGAGTCCTCTTATAAAAGCGGTCAAAGCAACCTTATCGTCCATCTCTTCCAACTGCAATATCTCTTTATTGAATCAGGTGATGTATTCTCGGACCGACTCTCCCTTCTGTTGCTTCACGGTAAGCAGGTAGGTGGCCAGCCTCCTATGCCTCTGACCTGCAATGAAGTGGCTCACAAATTGCTTACTTAGTTCTTCGAAGGTGTTAATAGTTCCTGGCTTCAGCTTGTTGAACCAAACTCTTGCCGATCCCTTAAGTGTAGTGGGAAAATCTCAGCACATGATTTCATCTGGCATGGCGTGTAAATGCATAAGAGCTTGAAAGGTCTCCAGGTGATCGAAGCGATCTTTGATCCCGTCGAAGCTTTCAAACGAAGGCATCCTGAACTCGCGAGGCAGGGGGCATTTCATAACGGCGAGACTGAACGGCAAGTTGGTCCTTTGCACCAGGTCATCTATGGCGGCATGACCTTTCCCTTTCATAGCCTTCATTATATCTTCCATTTTCGCCTTGAGATCTTCGATCTGTAGGTCGAAATAGGTAACTTTCTCTGTCTTTTCCTTAACACAGAAGGTTGTGCCTGTTTGAGACTAGGGATTCCGCGGAGGCGGGGAAAGAGATTCTCTGTGTCGGTTTCTGACTTGGCTTTGTTCTCCCTCGAACTTATGAGAAGGATTGTTTTCTCGGTCTTACTCTTGTTGTTACCCATCATTCAGATTGAGAGGATATGGGTCGGACAATTCTTGTTGAGGTGGTGGTCCTCGTTGGGATAAGATGTTGCAGGATCTCTATATTTTGTTGGATCAACTGGTCCATACCCTGATTCAGAGTTTGGACCTGTAGTTCTAACGCTGCAAGTCGTTTCTGGTCATTCGGAATGTCTGGGTGTTCACCCGACCCCTTTCTTTGACTGGATCCCTGCAACGATGTTTCTGGTCCAGTTACCATACCGGACCATAAGTGCATATACCCAACCGAGTAATTGATTTAATGGAATCGTCGTTCCCATAGACGGCGCCAACTGTTTGGGGAGAAATTCACGTGGTCCGATATGGCACCGTTTTCCTGCAAAGAAAAGAGTAATAGATCAATGAAGCTTGACGGCACCGGTGTGGTGTTTTCCAAGAGCTCTCCGACGGTTAAGTCAGTCACCGGAGGTCTAAAAGAAAGGCAGGGATTTAATAATTATTTTTTGTCGTACCTTTATTGACTGGTAGAATCTCATTCTTATAGCCGCTTTCCTTTAGTTCATTTGTGAGATCAGAGGAGATCCGTTTGTGTGAAATCAGATGAGATCGTTTGTTACCAGATTTGTCGGGGATATGATTTACTCATTTGGCTTTCTCAAATTGTGCCAAGGTTATCCTTACCCTGTTGAACCACGTCGTCTTTCATTGTTTTAGATAAGAAATGTCATCATTCTTATCCGATGGAAATCTATATCTTTGATAACGAAATATTATCGTTCGAAAGTCGAAAAGGTCTTGTGACTGGTTAAGGTAGGTTAGGTTTATTTTTTCCTATCAATAACATTAGTGAAAGGGAGAAAATAAAATAAAGGAAAGAATATGATAATGTTAATCATATATTATGCTTAGTTGATTAATGAAGAAAAAGAAAAGAAATTAGAGTAATCATGTTTGGTGAATGAAATGAATGGATAATATTTAATGAATTTATTATTGCACCAATTTTTTTTTTTTTTTTTTTTTTTAAAGTTTAGTCTTTTATAAAAAGGTTAACTTCAGTTACACCACCTGAGGAATGTCCAATCTTCAAGGAGGCCCCCCCACGTTTGCAAAAATTCAGTCAGACCTCTTATTTTTTCTGACACACATCAGTCTCCCACCTCAGTCAACGGTTAAAACTGGTCAGAGACACTTTTTGCCAACATCAGCAAAAAAATAAATTTTAATACCCAAATTGTCCCTCAACGGTTATGTTTGACTACTTACTATCCATCTAACCAAACACTCCCCTCAAAACACTCACTCTCTCTCTCTCTCTCTGTCTGCAAACCCATTTCTCTCTCTAAACTTTGTCTCTCGGCAAACCCATTTTCTTGGTCTAAGATTCTTTCTAATGGCTAAGGTGGCTCGATCGGTTTTCTGCGAGCTCGCGTCTCAAAAACCAGCGTTTCCTGTTCTGGTTCAGAGGGTGAAGACCTCCGATGTGTCGTCGGCGTCATCGACGGGGACGGATAAGGTGAAAATCGTGCTACAACCTCGTCTATGCACGCTCAGATTGTACGGTTCTGATCAGGTCAGGGTGATGATGAAGCCGCGGAGGGACGGTGGTGATGTTGTTGATGATAAGGGCGGTAATGGGGTGTCGTCGTCACCGTTCTTTGCGACTCTGTCGGAGTACATAGAGAGCTCCAAGAAGAGCCAGGACTTTGAGATCATCTCCGATCGTCTTGCCATGGTATATATGTTCTTCATTAATTGCTTTTTTTGACTCATAGTTGCTTCAATTAGAGTATACTGTAGACCTGTCAATATTTGGATTTTAACTAATAAATTTTCTAATCCAATAAATAGGTGACATAGATTGAATAACTCGGTGAGGAACTATGAGGATGTTGCGATTGCGGCGGTGATGAGGTCGGTGAGGAACAGCGGTAAAGAGGCTGACGACCAAGTCACTGAAATGATGGGCTACTATCCAACGAGCACAATAGATGACGGCGGTAAAGTGAAGATTCAGTAGATGGATTATGGTGAGACAAAAGTGAAAGGAGAGAGAACAGAGATTGTGGGAGAGAAATATGCAAATTCAGATGTTAGAGAGAGACTTACCAGAATGAAAAGTAATGCAGAATACAATAAAATTGAAATAGAAGCAATAGAAGCTAATACAGAGAAGTAAAAAGACAGTTCTTAAGGTAACTAAAGAAGATATTTGAAGACATACCTCTGGCTTATGCCCATTTTGTCTAGACAACGCTATATATATATATATATATATATTCCAAACCCAATTGAACCGATTAAGTCTGATTATCAATGGCAGACCGACCAAGAGAAAGAAAATGGATGAATAGAAAATGAAGATTCAGTAGATGGATTTTGGTGAGACAATAGTGAGATGAGAGAGAACAGAGATTGTGGGAGAGAGAAATATGTAAATTTAGATGTTAGAGAGAGAGACTCACCAGAATGAAAAGTAATTATTGCTTAGGACCAAAAACAAAGAACACGATTGATTGAAACTGTGCTCCTCTCTCTACAAAGTGATCACGGAGCAATCAAATTAAGGTTGGGTTTTTGAAAATTTAGGGTTTTGTGGAGAATTAGGGATGAACCGCATCGGTGACGTAAGGATACGGTTGTGATGGAAGTGCTCGTCGACGACGAGCTTCCGGCGAGCCATGCAAACCCAGTTTTTTGTAACCCCAACTTTGCCACTGAGATACGAGGGATGAGAGAGATTGACTATTTGGTTCAAGAGATAAAGCTAATAGAAAGTTATAAAACATGTTTGGTTTGGTTCAAGAGATTGACTATTTGGTCAAGTATATATAGGAAAACGACAATAAGGTAATTTAGTTATTTCATTCATTTATTTGTTTTTATCAGCCGATAATATTTGACAGGAGGTCTGATTGAAATTTTTCAAATGTGGGAGAGTCTCCTTCAAGATTGGACATACTTTAAGGGGTGTAGCTGAAGTTAACCCTTTATAAAAATACTAATAATAAGGGCAAAATCGGTATTAGAATTTTTTAATAAACTTTACAGTCCTTTCCTTTCCTTTCCTTTCCTCCATTTTTATAATGATAACAAAACTCAGTTATCATGCCTAGTTTGTATCCCTCTTAACCATTTTTTTTTTCTTTTAATAATTTGTCTGAAACAGACTATAACATTCTCCTCCATCACATTTCTTTTCTTTTCCTTTCATTTCTCTCGGACCAAACTGGGGCTTATGAAGCTAGGTCTTGTCCAACCTCAACAATAGAGGGGCTAGTCAGATTACAAAACAAATTTTTTGTTGGCTATTTGAATATCTTCTCAAAATAAATAAATAAAAAGGCATTATTATCCGCCCGACAGAGATACATTGTTCGCGTCTCAGCAATTGGGAGGGCACAAACATCACAAAGTATATCATCCCTAACTCCATCTCCCATTTAAGATCAGACTAAAACACAACCATATATCCATAAAAGTCTCAGTTGTTGATTCTAAGCACCTTGGTTTTTCGGTTTTTCCCATACTTGACATATATGATGAACATGATAGAGAAACAAGAAGAAAAAAATAATAATCAGAATGTATAAAAGCAGAGCCAACAATAGCCCAATCAAAGCAACTAATCAACGAGGCAAAAAAAAAAAAAAAAAAAACTGAACCAGCAATTATCTAAAAACTGCTGCATTTAATTTTTTTACCAAAAAATTAACAAATTTATAAATCGAAAAAATCATTCAATAAATAGACTATTACATGGAGCTACTATTGATGCATATAATAAGTATACCACAACATTGAATAACAAACAGAAAGCAAAAGTGATATCAAAACCTCTTTTTTTCCACACAGAGGAAAACAAACTATATATATACAAACATATACAATCACTTAAACGATGATGAGGCCTTAGCCCCTGTTTGATGTCGCGGTTGGATATTTTTAAAAATAAAATATTATTCACGGCTTAAAACAGAGCAAAATTTTACTCTCAAATGTTAAGAGCACAAATCACGACTCCCTCCTCGAGTCTGACACTAATCTAATGTCTCGGGCTTCTTTGCGATTTCTCTTCCCTGTAAAGTCTTTGTGTTTCTTTTGATTTTTGTGTTTTGATGTTTTCACCGAGTGAGTTCTTCTTTTGATTTTTGTGTGTTTGATGTTTTTGTGTTTTGATTTTGATATTTTTTTAATTATTTTTTTATGATGTACTATAGCAAATATAGCATTTAATTACATCCGATTCAAATATTTATAAAATAAAATTCTTCTTTTACTATCTATTTAAGATCTTTTGGATACACGATAGTTACATAAGTATTATCAAATCCCCCATATATTTTAAATTTTTAGTTTTATTTATGTTGCTAGGCTAGAAATACAAATACAAGAAGCAGATTCATCATATGAAAAGCCATTGATTTGAATCTTCATTCACACTTTTTTTTTTTTTTTGTGTGTGTGTGTGTCCAAAGATATCTAATTATAAATTTAAATTTGAAAAAAATTATTAAATTAGATAGCAGGTTCCTAAGAACAATCCAATTGCTATGCTACGAAGATGTTCACATGTTAAAGTATAAATTGAAGAGATTTCAAACGTCAGCCAACTTAAATTTATGTTTATGTTATTATTTGTATTAAATAATCTTTAAAAAATAGCAAAATTATTAAAATTCAGGAAAAATTCAACTTCATTAGATTTGTAGTAAAAATTGATTGCCATGCATACCTTTTGGCTGGAGAATAGGTGTATTATGTGGTGCCTTTTACCTCATCTCCTCTACGAGACAGATGTGTTGCTTTCTAGCATTGGGATTTTTCATACATTATTAAGGAAAATAATATAATTGACAACTTTAATATTCGGATGTTGTTATTCTAAATATCTTTCACGCGCTACTTCTTTCGTCATCTTCTTCCTTGTCTTCATGGTACTAAAATATAAAAATTTTATTTATACAAAATTGCAATTTCGTTGCCAAAGGGTGCAATGCTTTCTAATTTTTCTTCTCTAAATTCCTCTTCTTGTTCTTTTATGGGAGTGAGATAAATCATTCGCATAACAATCTTTTATATATATATATATATACCTTGTTCTTTTATGGGAGTGAGATAAATCATTCGCATAACAATCTTATATATATATATATACTTATATATATATATAAGATTGTTATGCGAATGATTTATCTCACTCCCATAAAAGAACAAGGTATATATATATATATATATATATATATATATATATATATATATATATATAAAAGTTTTATGGTGATTCAAACTTTAATCGCTAACAAAGAATATTAAGATGAAATCATAGGGCGTTAATAGGATTTTTTACTTTTATCTTATATATATATATAAGATTGTTATGCGAATGATTTATCTCACTCTCATAAAAGAACAAGGTATATATATATATATATATATATATATATATATATTAAAGTTTTATGGTGATTCAAACTTTAATCGCTAACAAAGAATATTAAGATGAAATCATAGGGCGTTAATAGGATTTTTTACTTTTATTTGTAAAAAAATGAAAAGATAGGCAACTTTTCATATAGTTAATTAATTCTAGAGCATCTTCAGTAATCTGTTAAAATGTTATTTTGTGTAAAATATACACTACCATGTATGATGTATAAATATTTTTTTTTATCTAGCAGTCTATTGAGATACACTGCCACGATTTCATTTCTCCTCCCTCATCCTTTTTCCATTAACGAATCAACGTGTGAGGTCTAGACATGATACTGGTTAGTTGTTATTGGGGGATATATTTTTATACAAAGGTATAAAACAATCAGCTAAAAATAAATAATCCAAAATTTTAGTGTAAATCTATTATGACACATCATCAGATTTACACCAAAAAAAATAAAATAAATAACACATCAGATTTACACAAAAAAATAAATATACACAAAGGTTAGAGCTAAAAATAATGTGAGGTCTGGACATGATACTGGTTGGTTGTTATTGGGGGATATATTTTTATACAAAAATATAAAACAATCGGCTAAAATAAATAATTCAAAATTTTTGTGTAAATCTATTATAACACATCATCAGATTTACAAAAATAAAAAAATAAAAAATAGACACATCAGATTTACACAAAAAATAAATATACACAAAGGTTAGAGCTAAAAATTATGTTTTTTTTTTTTTTTTTTGGTGTAAATATGATATTTCATAATAGATTTATCCAAAAAATTTGGATTATTTACTTTAAGTTATAGCGATTGTTTTATACATTTTGTGTAAAAATATAACCCACGATAGCAACCAACCAGTGTCATGCCTGGAGTTCATATAATTTTTACAAACTTACTTAATATAGGGTTGATTCTTTAATGAAATGAAAAAGAGGGAAGAGAAATGAAATATTCTTATGTGGCTGTGTAAAAAAGTTGTGTAAAATACACAACAATTTTATATATTGGTAAAGTGGCGGTGTATCTTAAGAGCATTTCCAACTGTCTTGTTAAAACATTCTTCTATGTAAAATATACACTACCAAGTATGATGTGTAATATTTTATTTATTTATTTTAATCTCCAGCAACATATTTCTTTTATGCTCCCTCTTTCTCATTACATTAACAAATTAATCCTATATTAAGTAGGTTTGTAAAAATTATGTGGGTCTAGGCATGACACCATTTAGTTGTTATTAAGGGATATATTTTTACACAAAAGATATAAAACAACCACTGGAGTTAAAAATATATATTCCAAAATTTTTGTGTAAATTTATCATGACATATCAGATTTACACATAAAAAAATATATACAATGGTTGGAGATGCTCTAACAGACAATATATACAATGGTTAGAGATGTTCTAACAGACTCTTGTTTGAATTGCATGAACAATGTGATTATGATAAAATGATCTAGGTAGCTTAGGATGCTCCCTGTGTCTCATCTTGACATAGACGTTAGGTGGCATGAGCCTCTTTAACATGTTTCACTATAAGGTGATAAAATTGTAAAAATGTTAGGTCGATGCATGCTCATCTTCTACGAGTAACTTTATGTTACGCACCCCTACGATACTGGGGCATATTTCAGGTGCAGGACTCAGGATTTGAAGATTTCATTGCTCCTTGGATGGCTTGCAGTTTCTAAGTTTCTATTTTATGCAAGTATTAGTATAAGATGCCTCTTTGTAGCCCTATTTGTTTAAACTTGTATTCGTTGATTCGTTTATGTAAAGTGTATGTAAGTACACTTTTTACAATGTATTTGACATGTATGAGATGAGGCCGGAGGCCAATTACATGTAATTTGTATCCTATGTAATTTTTGACTTCATGGAATATTATGAAAATATTGAAAAATATTGAGTTATTGCTTCTCCATGTTTGCATTAGGTGTGGGAATTCTATTTTGATTCTTCCCTAGGGTCTTGTTAATCTTGTATGAAGTGTGGCCCAGGGCCAAACGGTATTTTGGAACCATTTCATAATTTTGAATTCCGAGTTTTCGTTTCAAGTTCCATTTTTTTGCCTTTTTGCCCGTTGGGGGGTCGGATTTTGCATCGGCTATATTTTTAAGCCATGGACCATTGTAACGCGTCTAAATAGATAAGTTACGTTCACGTGCATAGTCGTTTCCGGGCAAAACCTCATCGTTTGTGTTTTGAGCCTCCAATGGACTCATTTTACACTTTTGTTGCATAATCCGACCTAAGGGGTATTTTGAGAATTTTCTTTGGGAAATAAATTCCGTTCTTCACATAGAAATAAAAATAAAAAATAAAAAAATAAAAAAAAATTTACGCATCATATGTGCATTCAGATTGATGGAGATGTTCTTATATTTTGAAATAAGTCATATTATATTATGACACATTATATTTACAAAAATATATACACACACCAGTTGGAAATGCTATATTTTAAAATAAGTCCTATTATATTTGACACATGTACAGTCACATAAACTCGGTGAAGTGGTAGGTTTTTATTTGTCAGGCTAATTAGCAGGATTCCATCATTAATTAATCAATTCACAAAACTTCATTAATTTTAATTTTAATTTTTATTATTATTTTTTTTATTTTTATAAAAATTCATATATTTACTAAAACGAAATAAGTAATTACATATTATTTGGATTACTAAAATTTAAATTTCTTCCCAACTTGTTCATAATCCATTCAGAGAAAGAAAAAGAAAAAAAATTGAAAACAAATTATGGTGCAATAATTAAATATGCTTTAGATTACTAAATAAAATTGCAATAGTTATTAGCTGTGATGCCAAAGTTTTATTAATTTATTGGCTCTGCATTTTCTTCATGGTTTAGTTTTATAACATGAGATTCAAAATTAGATTTAATCATTTAAAACCAGTAATTATAGCATTTGCCGTGATCTGTTGCAATAATTTCAAAATATATATGTGGTACAATATTTTGTAAAATTCCTATAGATTTACTATAAATGGTCAATTTCAAAATATTATCTAGAGTTAACATGTGACCCCTCAAAATTTATACAAAATTTGCAATTTGAGTCTATTCTTATATCTCTATATTTAAAAATAAAAGAAAAAATCCAAATACAGCTCTTATTTCTATTAGTTTCTCATTTTATATACCTGGTGATTTATGAAAGAATATTTGATACTATAATTCAATAAAAAGTCTTGACAATCGTAAAACAAAAAAAAGTTACACTCTAATTTCACAGTAGGATGTACTTATTTTAATCAAAAGTTAAATCTTTTTTATGAAAAAAAGATTGATATTAGCATTCAAAAAAAAGTCATAGACAATCCACTTCCTTTTCTTTTATTTTATTTTATAAAATAATTCTTTGCAAACTCTTTCGTAAAGAAAAAAAAGTAAAACAATTTTTTTTTTTAATAGAAGAGAGTTAGACTATTATAATTTTTTACACTATTATAATTTTTTACAATTTATTTTCATAAAACTATTAAAAATTTCGTAGCAAACACGTAGGACGAACTTATCCAAATTATTTGTTCCAAAAAGTTGAATCCAACCAAGAAAGCCAGCCTAGCTTCTGACTAGCATACCTTAATTTAAGAGCTTTCAAACATACGTTGTACCCCACCCATGATCTTAGGGTCGGTTTTAACGCTGACAAAAGCAACTAGACAAAAGGATAGACACACCACGCACCCTACCACGTTTTCAATCACTCAAATACCCCCAACTTGCTTTGGACCGGCATCGTCATATTAATATTATTAGTCCAATGTATCACAAACTTTAAGAATATATATATATAAAAATATACATATATACACACATATATACATGCACCTATATTGCTTCTATACAAAATTATAATCAAGGGCTAGAAATCGACAATTTAATACAACCAACTCCGAATTTCAAAAAGACCATTTCTTCCTTGCCTTCCAATTTACAAATACAATGAAGGACAATAGCGAAGAAGAGTCTTACAAAGACTCCAACCCTAACAAAAAAAAAAAAAAATTCCCAACAAAGAGAGAGTAGTTCACCTTCTCTTTATTTATTGGATCAACAGCTCTCATCACCTCAATAAATATACATATACATACATACATATTTTGATTTAACTCAAAACTCCACAAATGATGAACCATTTGACTCTTTATATACAAAAGACTAAATAAGGATAGTTCCTCTCTTCCCCCATTACCTCCGTTGTTACCTCCAATTGCTGCATGTGAGGTCTCAAGTTGGACTTGTTTCTATGCTACAGCAGAGATGCTGCGATGTTGGCGATCACGGCCTAAGCAATCAAAACCTTCGATTCTCACTGCAGCCGGCTTCTGCCCGAATTTCATCGGCACACATGCCCCTCCTTTACGAGAAGCCAGGTTTGGAGATGCTGTGATGATGGGTGGAGGTGCTAGCGGACTGATCTCGTTGCTACCAAAATGCCTGTCTTGGATTACAGGGTTTGATGCCCTGCTCGGAGGAGACCCACAAAAGAATGGCGGCGATGAAGCCACATGAAAATTATTGGGTTTTTCTGCACTGTAACTTCCCTAAAAAAAATGATTAAATTGGATAATTCAATAAAACTGTGGTTAAGAAGTGTAAATCATTAATAAACTTCAATTGATTGCGAACATAGTGATATAAATCATTAATAAACTTCAATTGATTGCAAAAATTTTCAATGGGAAAAAGAAAATATATGTTTTCCGTTCCTATGGATTCCATACAACTAAATTTTGACCAATCCCAAAAACACCAATTCGACAACACCAACAATACATAACTTATGAAGCCAACAAGCGCACACATAACAAAATTATCTGATTTTACAGTACAAAAAAGCAAAATTGTATTTTTATTTATAATTCTTCATGTCAAAAGTTAACCTCACCACATAAAGCTTTCTCATCGTAATATAGCTAAATTCTTAGAGATTTCCTAAGTATTAACATCATTTCACACCTTTTCTCAGCAACCAAACTGAGCGCCTACGAAAGAGAACAAAAAAATCATAAATGAAAAATTATAAACTATGAAAGGAGGGTACCTCAGTGAGAATGATGTCCAGGAGCTCCGTCCTTGCTCTCGAGTCACAGATCTCCGTTTGGTGACAGCTATTAATTAGGTAAACAACAAAAAAGGGAAAAAATTAGTTTTTTTCTTTTTTTCCAACACAAAACAATATTACTAAAATTAATAACGGGCAAACAAAATTAAGGTTGGTGTTATTTGTAAAAATACATACTTCATGTGACATCTTGAAGGTCTGATGTGGTCGTTGATGGAGGTATTGAAGAAGCCAAGTCGTCGAGGTTTAGGGCAAACGACGGAGTCGTTGAGAGAGAAGGTGGGTCCTCTCATCTCTCCACAGGCTGCTGCTGCGTAGGTCTTCTGTTGATATGCTGCAAACCCATTCATCTTTCCCGATCTAAATCTGCAACCTCTACACAAAAACACGAACCAAATCATTTTCAGATCGAACATATATATAATATAGAGAGAAAAAAAAAAAAGAAAAAAAGAAAAAAAAGTAGAAGGATGAATTATAAGTTTAATTGTGAGAGATTACCTGAGCAACCGCCTTGAAGGTGACTTCCGGGCTTTGAACAGAGGCGCAGATTTTTCTGTGGAGGGCGAGAGAGAGACAACCGAAGAAGAAAGAAAATGAAACGGGTTGGCCTACTATTCTTAAAGGGCGGAGAGACAGAGAGAGAGCGCGTCCTAGGACGGAACTGAGTTATGCTACGTTATGGTCACTGATCTCTACATTTTGTGAGCTCGCATCTATCGACCGTCGATATGTGTTTTTATCGCATTTTGTGTTAAAGAGTAAAGATTGAATTGGAAAATAATAATAATATATATATATATATATATATTTAATTATAGTGATATCTCTCCTTTATATGAAATTCTTAAAATCTTCAAACAAATCTTCAATTTCAAATTGTGAAAAAGTATCATTAAATTATAATGTTATTAAAAAAATAAATAATAATTTAAATTAAAAAAAAAAAAACGAAGAGAAGAAAATATAGTCCCAATAGTTTATACATATATTCAACAAATTTTTTCTAAAAAAAAAAAAAACTCTAAATCAGTATATCACGGCTGCTAATTAATCATTTAAATTGTTTTCATTTTTTTAAGAATTGAAAGCGATTTTCAAACAGCTATCTCAAACAAGAAAAGGACAAAAGGCAATTCACAGAATTATAGTAAAGCACATCAAAATTGACTATATTCTCGTTAACTTGGTTGGGTGATTTACCAACCTTTGAATATTCTTAAACCTTAGCTGTGACTTAAAAAATCATTCCAACATCATTCAACTACATTTGACTTTTTACATTTTTAAAAGAACGCACCCTGCTGAAGTGCAATTCAATTTTGATTTGGAAAAAAAATTTAGAAAAAAAAAAATTTAATTTAAAAAATAATTTGTCCAGAAGGATTTTGAATCTCACTGCATAAATTTCACTGCATAACATCACCGTAACATTACGTGGTGGGTTGGGTTTATTCATTCACTTTTATTTTTCAAACATAATTTTAGTTTCGAAATTTTATCACCGAAAAAGTTAAAACATCTTGTCAATTCGTTTTGAGCCTATACGTATATCATTAAAGGTTTGTTCAATTTGAATAATCCCACTCTAATGAATTGCGTCTAACAAAAGTTTTTACACAATAATTAATTCATGACCTTTTATTAATTTTTAATATTTAATAGCAAAAGAATAAGAGACAAAATAGTTCTTGTAAATTGTCACCGAAAGAGAGAATAAGAAACAAAATTTTCAAACATTGATATGCCATTTATTTCAGCTTAAACCTTAAAATATACCCCATAGCTAATTGAAAAGATACAGCGAACTAAAGCTACCCTAGTCTGTATCCCTCTCATGGTCCATGGTTTGTTGCTGTTTCACTTTCAGTGTTCATAACATATAGTACTGCCCTTTCAGTGGTTGATGGTTCTAAATCTTCAAAATCTGTATATGTCCACTTATATATATATATATATATATATATATATATATATATAGTTTGTTACTTTGATTTGTGGGCTATTTCTTCCATTTTCTTACATCATCTACAAATTGGTGGGTGTCTAAGATAAATATACATTCCCAAGGAGTCATGCACATTCTTGATCTGGTCAAGAAAGAGAACAATATTATATGGTGGGTCAATGTCAATGAGCAGGAAAGAAAAGTGGTGAAGAATCTCTTTGTAGTTTCCCATCACAAACCCTAACTTTGCTAATCTTGTCCTCACACCAGTGCAACTGCTCCTCTTTTAGATCGCTCATTTTCAATACCCTAGAAACCACTTTTAGGTCTATTTGTGCCATCAATATCTCCATCTCTTCCTCCTCCTTTAACGTTCTTTTTCTTAAGCCCATCCGAGCACGCCGGAGATCCTTAAGCTTCAACTTCTTCTGCACAACATGAATGTAAACTGCAAAATGTAAGAGTGGCAAATAGGTGAACAATTTGAATCCCAATATACATAGTCCGGCACATGGGGGTTCGGAGGGTGAAATGTGCTTAGTCTTACCTGGTCATAATAGAACAATCATACCGTTATCCAACCTCAAATTAAATAAAATACATACCTTTTTATTTACTTTTTTCAGTAGAAGGAGTAGAGTTCGATCAATTGAGCCTCTTCGGTTTCTCCTGATGAAAGATGCAAATAACTGGCAGCGATTCTTCCTATCTGCCTTGAGAAATTTCATGAATGTTCGGATTGCTTCCTCCATTGTAACAAGAAAAGAAACCGATGATATTCTTGAGCCAAAAACTTCCTCCTTTTGTTCATCATTAGAATCTACATGCAAAAAATAAATATATAACAAACCAAATATAAATTTGAACCATATGAGGCAATATTTCAAGATCGCTTATACATAAATAGGCTAAAGTACAATAGAAAAACGTACATTATTGTTAAAAGCAATTTAAAATGAACAAAACTAAGAAATTGGAAATATTATATAATTGGTTTATTAGTACCTCTATATTCTGGCACTTGAAGCAACTTTGGAGCCAAGCTCCTAATCCTGGCATAAACCTCAGGTCTGCAGCCATGCTCATAAGGCTCATTCTCGATATATCGCTGTAAAAGAACTTGGAATTGTTGAAATTGCTGAGCAATATGTGCAGGACAGCCAGGGTCGAATTCGTGGCACGAACCTCTGGCACGCTGGAAGTACTTGTAATTCCAATTTAGAGCTTCCCATGTTAAACAAATTTGAGCTACATAAGCAGCCTCCAATTCCTCCGATGACCTTTTATTTTTTGTCCCAAAATTATGAACAATCCTTTCTGACATCGACCTTGGACATGTCTCTATAGACTTCACTGACTCTGAAAAGAGTGTTTGGTTAAATTAAAAAAAAAAAAAAAAAAAAAAAAATGAATTCTTGACAAACAAACAAACAAATAAAAGATGATTTAGCTAGGAAAGTGAAAGTACCTGTTTCAAGGAGCCTTTGTGAACTTGCTCTGTCTAAGAAGAGCCTCTCTTTGTCATATCTTTGGAGCACTGTGTAGGACTCCCCCCAATTGGAAGAACACGAAAATCGATCTTCAGTCCCCGAATCCTTACAATTAGTAGAGCTTTTCCATTCAGATGAGCTCTTAGAATTGGACTTGGCTGTGCGCCATTCGCCAAAAAATTCTTCACTATCCTTTTGTTCATGAAATAATTGATACTTCTTGTTCTTCAGCTCAGATGGTGCAAAAAATAAATAGTTTTCATCTTCTGTGACCTTCATGTTTTCATTTTCTTCACTATCACAGTTTCCTGCAATAACATAAGCAATATCAGTATCTACCCGCGCAAACACAAAGTATCAAAATTAACATGCTTAATGATGACAAAAAAAAAAAAAATGATAATACCATCGTGGTCTTTGACATTGATCACCAGGCTACTTTTGTTTAACACCATGGTCGTTGGAGAGGTGGTCCAATCATCATTTTCCTCAAAACTATAAGCAGAATTAGTATCACTTCTTAGGATATGTTCTAAATCAACCATCTCCTCCATATTATTTTCGGATTCTGAAGCCGGAGTGGTATAGATGGATGAATGTTCTGTGGCATAAGTTTCATCCTCTGGCTCTTCGAACATAGGCTGGTGATGGTCCACAATTTCTTCAGCAAAAATTTGGTCCTTCAGGAGGCTTCTGGTAGGCAAAAATGGTAGTGCTTCACCGTCTCCAATGATGTCGTCCACCATACGATTATTCTGTATGGATTGCTCTTGACAATACTCATTATTATCTTCCTCTCCATCAGAAAACAGAACATATTCACATCCATCCTGTTTTCTGCAAGAATAATAAAATAATAATAAAAGCTAATTAATCTGAAAACATATATATGAATACCTCGAGAATATATATATATATATATATAGAGAGAGAGAGAGAGAGAGAGAGAGAGAGATGTTTCTATACCTTTGGAGAAATGAAATAGCACGAATGCAATGGAAGACTTTGGCAAGAAAAACGGAGGTAAAGTAGAAGAAGAGGGAGAAGATGGAATGAGATTGAGGCATTGTAGAACATTCAACATTGCATTTTCTTCTTGGTGCTCTGAAATGAGTCTCTAAAGACTCTTACACAATGCAAAGTGAGTGCATAAAAACTATGCTTACATTTCTCTCATAACGCCTCTTGCTTGTTTGTCAGAGACTCAAAAGTGGGCTTTGCTTTACTTCCTTTCTTCAACATCACTTATATTTCCTCTTCTTTCAATTACCAAATGGGATCAATACCTATTACCTAGACACAAGCATCTATAATCACATGTCACTTGTCCTTTTAAAAGAATTATTATAATAATCCAGTGAAGACATTTTTTTTTTGGAAAAGGGATAGGAAAAAATACTTTAAGATTATTGAATGGGATATTTGAAATTAGAATTGAATTAAATTTAGGTCAAAATTATTTTTTTTCTAACTTTAATTCTAAGGCGTAAATTCGGTATTGCAAAATCCTTGTTGGTAGGTTCTTCATTTGAGATTCCATCAGGGGCCTCTTCCTTTCATCAATATATGTTCTGAATGTGCTCCTGATCCGGGACAGAAGTGAATTTTTTTGTTTTTTTTTTTTTTTTTTAAAATTTTTTTATTGAGGGTAGTGTTGTCTATATCTTTTACAGTAAAAAGGAGGAAGAGCGTTTTTGTTAATTTGAACTTGTCTTTAACTTGGTCACCAAGGGTTCTTTCCTGGAAAAGAAAAAGGAAAAATGCTTTGGTTTCCCAAGCTTTTGTCTGCTAAGATTTGCTTCTTTAGGGTCAAGCATCCTAATTTGTGTTTACTGCATACAACCAAATTGGAATTAGTGGACCATCCTAAGTCTCTTGGTCCCACATAGTTTCCTATAACTGCTTCATTATGTGTATTGTAAATGTACAAAAGGGTCCAGTAGGCCCAAGCTTAAGAAAGTGCTAAGAAATGGTTACAATACCAAAGTCAGCCCAAAGCCCCCACTTGGGGACCAATTCAATCAGGCCCAAACAAACCCCATACCTGTATAAGTAGTCCCTTTTCTATTTTACATCTTTTATATGTATACATTTACCAAATCTTCAGTTTATAACTGTCCATATTTTCTACTAATAATGCAATTTTTTTTATTTTTTTTGGCACCAAACAAACCAAATAATGCAAATGAATTGAACATAGAGACGGCTTCAAATTCTATCCATCTTGTTTTGAATAACACATTTCTTGGGGGCATACGTTGGTTGAGAGAGAGAGAGAGAGAGAGAGAGAGAGAGCTTCTAGAAATCCAAGTGCAGAGAAAAGTTGTAGATGAAAGTACTTGTTAGGAGTGAAAAGGAGACTCTAGGGACAAAACGAGGACTACAAAATACATAGTCATGTGGGTTGGTGAACATTTTAACCACTCCTAGTTATTACTGTTTATAATAAACAAATCAAAAATTGTCATTCAAGATCTTAATTACAATATTTACCATACACTTAGTCTCAAATAAACATGTAATTCCCACATTTATCAAATGATTGGATATATATAATCATTTGCAAAAAAGGAAATATATAAAGCCCTACCTCTAGCAGTGCTAGCTCTCCACACCCCCACCCTACGAAGTCGGTGAGTATGGCGATGTAGTTTACCCTAATTCATTTTGATTAGACTTATAAATACAAGAAACTAGTTCAACCATTATTTAACTTAGGATAATAACTTTCAAATAATGCACTTCAAACACTCGAATAAAGTTTGAAATCTCTATTATCTCTAAGAATTATTATAATAAAAGTAGTTAACAAAAATTATACAAGCAAAACAGGATTAATCACATTCACCCCAGTTAATTACATGAGAGAGAGATTAGAATAATATTAATGGGCACGTATGGTATTGAAATGATGTTCCCATTGGACGAGAGTGGAATTGGTGGGTAGAAATGGGTGAAGGTGGTTGAAGAAGGCCATAGAACAAGAATTATCTGCAATGAGTTGTAACTGAGACTCAACCCAACCCCTCGTGCCAAAAAATGATTTCCAAACAACATTTCTCACATAGTCACATAGTTGATGCCACCACTCTATAATAGACTCCTAGTAATAAAACCCCAAAACCTTATTATAAAGCAATTAATTATGGAAATTTAATTTTGAGTAGTGGGAATTAACATAAAAAGGATCCATATATATCTGCATGCACCATCTTTGTCAAAGTGTTAGCTGCACTTACAAAACTAAAGAAAGACTATAGCTAATTAAGGCTCTAAGGCTTCTTCTTCAAGGATGAGGTACAGAAACACAACTACGCACGCCATTAATACTTGAACTCGGTACGTATTTCCATACTTCACTAGCTAGCTTCCATTTGATTGCAGCATTCCCTTCTACTTCAAGAAATTAATCAATATCAAGTTGGTTTCTTTATCCGGCTGTAAAGATGGAGGAGAATCTTCCTCCAGGGTTCAGATTTCATCCAACTGATGAAGAACTCATTACTTATTATCTCACTCATAAGGTTTCTGATTTTACTTTCACGTCAAGAGCTATTGTAGATGTTGATCTCAATAAGTGTGAGCCTTGGGACCTCCCAGGTAGGTCTTAACATTTATTAGCTTTTATTTTCTTGCGGATACTTTCTTATTATACATGTGTTTCTCTCTTATCAAACTGTTGTTTTTTCCATTAATTAAGTTTTCATAATATATTAGTTCATCATATATAGTAATAAATAAGTTTCCTACTTTTCTTTTTATCATCCACGGTTCTTAAAATTCAGTTGATTAATTAATACTTGTTCATACATTTTCCTTTTTTCTATGCATTCGATCTGTTTGGTTTTTTACCTAACTAATTCAACGTTGTTTTAATTTGGGATAAATGTGTACACAAAAACTTGGTAAAAGTCTTTTTAATTTGCAATTAATTTCAAGCTAAATGAAAATATTCTGTTAAAAATTCTAAAATCTTTTCTGCAAGAAAATATTTTGATATAAACTTATTATTGCTTTCTGTTTCTTCAATGTTTCAATAACATGTATAGCTTTTGTAGAATTGGAGTCTAGGAATGTAGAACAATTTTTATTCAAGCTCCCATTTGCAGGAAGGGGCTACAGTTATAAATTAACGGAACTCTAGTACAAATTATGTAATTTGATAGGATGCTTGAAAACCAAGAATAAGGGAGTTTTCAATGAATTTTATGATGATTTTTACGAAAATCATGAAAAGAGGGTTGAAAACGATGGCTTTTTCTTAATTCCTTACAATTTATGGGCCCCAATTAATAGTGATTAAAATTTTGAACTTTGATGTAGCAAAAGCTTCCATGGGAGAGAAAGAATGGTATTTCTTCAACTTGAGGGATCGAAAATACCCAACTGGCATGCGAACCAATCGAGCCACAGAAGCAGGCTATTGGAAAACAACAGGCAATGACAAGGAGATCTTTCGTGCTGCAGTCCTCGTCGGAATGAAGAAAACCCTAGTTTTCTACAGAGGTAGAGCTCCCAAGGGTGAAAAAACCAACTGGGTTATGCATGAATATAGGCTAGAAAGCAAGCAGTCTTTCAAACCTTCAAAGGTAATTAAAGAAAAATGTCACTTTTTATTTATATATACTAACGCCCTATTGTTTATTCTATATTTAATTAGGTAACGTGTTTTTTTTTTTTTAGGAGGAATGGGTGGTTTGTAGGGTCTTTCATAAGATCTCATCAGTAAAGAAACCACAGCAAAGACAATCCTCACAGCCATCAGCACTAGACTCTCCTAATTGTGATACTAACACAATTGCAAACGAGTTTGGGGAAATTGAGCTACTGAATTCAAATGGTATTGCAAATTCATCAAGCGCGATAAGTGATATTTCAATACAAAATTTCAATGGCGATAACAATGTCAACATGAGCATAGACATGAACGCGAATTGGACTGCAGCAAGAGAAGCAGCAAGTCTAATTCCATCACTCCAATGGCCTAGTTCTACCTTGCTAAGCTCAAATCTTTCAATGAATTCTTTGCTTCTTCGAGCGTTACAGCTCAGGAATGGTACTTATAATCAACCAAGAGAAGCTACAACTACTGATTACTCAATAATGCCACAAGGCATCTCTCATTTTGGGGCTGATTTTAGTTCGAATTTCCTGGCCGCGTCGTCCTCTAAGGACTTAGATTCTGTGCAGCAACCGCGACAGGAACAATCATTCAATTTGGACTCCATTTGGTGAAGCTTTCAGAAGTGTCACAACTAACCGATTGTAAACTTCTTTTATGGTACAATTGGGTGAACATTAAGGGATTCAAAACCATCACTTAATGTTGGGAACTTGGGACCTCTTACATTATAATGTTAATTCTGTCTGTCTAGTTAGATGTAAACAAGGAAAAGTTCATTCCTTCTTGTTGTTTCACTTATGTTCCGTTCATGGAAAACATTGTAAAAGTTCCACATGTAAAACATTGTTGGAATCATTATTTCATGGGCCAAAATTACTGTGTGTGTGTGTGTGTGTGTGAATTGTGATTATATGACATGACTGCTCATGACAATAGCTACAAATGTTAGTGGTAAAGATGTTGCCATGTGAAGGTTTCTTGAGAGGATTCGATTGAATATGGATACACGAAAAATAAAAGAATCTTCAATAATAAATTCATCAGATATAAGGTTCATTCTCTAACAAGCTAATTTTTTTTTTTTTTTTTTTTTTCAATTTTTTTATAAAACTCATAATATTCAAGTGGATGGCCTAGCCAAGAAGGGTCACACAAGGATAATAATTAAACAAATATATTGTATTTCTGCTCAACAGGGTAATAATATTTGGATTGAAAGGGTTATTAAAAGAAAACTTTGCAAATACACATCCCTTTGGTGCAAATGATCTATTATAGGTTTGAGTTTAATCATCATTTGTTGGATATAATTAGATGATATGTCTCAATCAACTTGGACAAAAAATTAAAAAAAAATAATAGTAAAGGGTAAATTGCATTGACTTTTTTTTTATGCTTGTACAAATTACAAACAGATCGATGTTTATTACTTTGATCTTTCTTAAATTTGGTCAAAAAGTGACTTTAAATGTGAAAAGTCAATAATCTCCTTATATTATAACAATATATTATGTTAGTACAAGTTAAAAAGAAATACAAAATTATCATTTTATAAAGTTTGATCGGGAAAAATAACGCTAGAAATAAATACTGAACACCGTATATAATTTATCCAAAAGTAAATCAAGAGATCACGTGGGCTTGAGCTCCTTAATTTAAGGCCCATACCCTCTGGGCCCAAACGATTCTTAATTAAATTGAACCTCATTGAAGGCCCTAAACGGCACAGAGCCATCTTCGCAACCCAAGGAACTAGCAAGAAGAATCGCCCACTGTGTGGAATCACCCTCTTCCTCTTCCTCTTCCTCCTAAACAATGGCCGGGAAGCCGATCACCGGCGAAGATGTATCTATTAATCTTGCCGGGATGTCAAAGAACCAGCTCTACGACATAATGTCTCAGATGAAGGCAAATCATTCTCTTCTTTTATTTTCTTTCTATTTTTCTCAATTTCAATCCACTTTTTCTTTCGTTTTCTTTTCCAACTTCTTTTTGCTCCAAATACTGGCTAGTAGAAAAAAGTAACAATAATAATAAATCAATTGTATGCTTATTGTTTTGCGTTACATGTGCAGACACTTATCGAACAGAACAAGCAACAAGCGAGACAAATTCTCATCCAAAACCCGCTCTTGACTAGAGCTCTCTTTCAGGTATTCATTCATTTAGGGTTTCAACTTTGTACTCGTGTTTGTTTCTTTTCGTTGGTCTTTCTTGCTCGTTTTTTGTTGCATCCTTTTCGCCTTTCTTTTGTGTGACTCTGAAATTAGGGTTTCATATACAATTAAAAAAAATTAATTTTTTCTAGAAATTAGAATGCTATTTTTTATTTTATTTTTTCCGTTTCAAAATCCTGAATTTAGTTTACACACATTGTTACACGGTTTGTTTCAAGGTGTTGTAATATATTGATATGAATTTAGAGTTGGCAATCACTTCAAAGTTATATTTTTATATAGTAATGAACACGGAATTCGCTTAATGGTTTGAAATTCCTAGAAAGAAAACCAAACATGGAATTTGCTTACGTAGTCAGTGTATTCTTCTCGAGGAACACAACATCTGCCTTAGCGGTCTCAAACTTAGGTCTAGCTTCATGTTATGCAAGCATCAAAACAACTATTGGCATGATTTCCACTAGTGCCAAACAGTCCCGTATGAAAACGCTTCATCTAGTTCACAGAACTTGGAAAAGATGAAAATTTACTCTTCTCACAACCTGCCTTGTGGCTCACAAGAGTACCATTGATATTATAGCGTCATACACTTCACCAAGGGAATGAATCAAAGTTTTTGAGAAGTCAAAGATACATAGGGAGAATCCAAGTCAAGCAAAATTATAAACCTTGAGATAGCAATTTCTAGTTTTATATTTTTCGTAATTAGGGTTTTGTTTTCCTTCTCCTGGATCTACATTGTAGGTTGCTTCCTTTTCAGATACATTGGAATTTAATGTAATGCTAGTTGGTGTTAGGATATTATGTGTTGGTAAATTCCTTCACAGAATTATGGTTCTTGGGTTGAACAAAATGTCTTGAGTCATTTTTCTATAGTTGCGGAAGATGAAGAACAATGAAGAACGTGTCGAAGAATTCATCATGGTCATTAATCGATCAATCAATCAAATTTATATTTTTTTAATTAAAAAAAAAAAAACCATGGACATCAATCAAATCAAAAGGATGATGGATCGATCAAACATTTGAGCAGAAAATAAGTTGGAAGATAGTGAGTTTTGAGCGATGCATCAACCATTTGAATTTTGTTTGAACCTAGCAGGCACATCGCTCGAAGGCTTCTGGAACAAGTTTGGTCGATCAACATTGTATTGCATCAAAAATTAAAATTGGTTTTACTTTCTTACTTTACATAATACTCTTATATTGGCTATATATATGGGTCATAGTAAGTCTTGGGTTTCTCTAGTTTATATCTTTTAGAAAGAGAGCTTTGAAAATCAATTAGGGTTTGCATAGAAAACCATAGTTTACGGTATGACAGTTTCAAAGCAAGGAGCTAATGAGAGATTACAACATAACAACCTGGCAACATTGTGAAGAATAAGGTTTGAACAACCATAGAGGGCAAAATTGTGGGTGATCAAGTTTGTTGATTGGCAGCAGCAAAGTCCAAGCACGATTGTCTCACATGAGTTTAGAGTCTGAGGACGTTCGTCTGGCATGAGTCTGACTTAAAGGTACTAAGGGGTTCTTGGGGTTAGAGTCTGCTAACCTAGTGTTGTAAACCTTTCTTCATAGTGGATTGTTCATGCCTGGTCCGAGTGGCCCGTGGTTTTTCCCTTACTAGGGTTTTCTATGTGAAAATTGTGTGCCGCTTTACTTGATTTTTACTGTTTTATGTGTTTGTAATTAAGTTTGAGACGTGGATAACTGAACAAACGAAATATTGAATAAGAGTCAAAAACCATTTAAAGCGTTAGTTATTAACAAAAAGTATCAATAAGATCTATTTGCACCCTCTCTAGGTCTAAAATAAACTATGCGCGTATTCAGAGCTTTGGGTTACTGTCCTATCTCTCAATCGGTTTTCTTCAAGTCCTTATTGACTGGTTTCTGAAGTTAATTATGTGACCTAAGGATGATAAGAAATTTTTAAGCATGCATGAGATTATGTTTCCGGAAATTATGTATATGCAAACTCTGTGTGTGTGTGTGTGTGTTAATTAGAGGCAACTCTCAAAGGTGTAAGAAGCTTGACAGACTATGTTTTTGACCCTTGAGATGTAGCAGTAAGTCACTGTTTGGTAAAACTAAAGTTGTAGTTGACATGTTCTATTTAGGTTGTGTTTTATTTCATATTGACTGCTTATATCTAGCTGCTAACCATGTTTTCTTTAATATGTCTCCTGTTAGGCACAAATTATGCTTGGGATGGTTCAGCCTCCTCAAGTGGTATGCTTTCAGTACTATTGGAACTGTCCCCTTTTATTTTACTTTGGTGCATCTGAAGTAGTTTTTCAATCTTTGTTTAGATTCCAAGCATCCAACCAGCAGTGGCACAGCATCCTCAGCAATCAGCACAGCATCCTCAGCAATCAGCACAGCCAGCTCAGCAGTCAAACATTCATGTTGCTCACTCATTGCCAGGAATAAGTGCATCGGAGACCCCAAATCCCATTAGAAAGCAACAGCAAAACGAACCATTGATTCAAATCTCATCTGCTGCTGCTCCTCCTATCAACCCTCATTCCCAATCCTTGCCTTCACATCCCTTACAGTCAGTGCAGCAGCCCAAGGGACATCATAATGGCCAAGCATCAACAATGTCGCTTCCACAAGCCTCTCAAATTCCTAATACCCCTCCACTTCCAATCCATTCTGCTTCCCAACCACCCTCACTTCTCCAACCCCCAATACCTACTGCCACCACCCAGTTGCAACAACCATTACAGACAAGTGGTATTCCTCATCTGCCGCAGCAACCTCCCTTGCCTCCACAACCCAGACCACCTTCAATGCCAGTTTTCCCTCATCAGGTTCACTCACAAATGGGGCCGAATGTGGGTTTCCAGCACTCTGGTGCACCTCAGCTTCATCATTCACAATTTATGTTTCCTGTAAGCCACAGAGTGAAGTTCATGAGTTTATAATTAATTTTGATGTATAAAATTTAGGCGTTAATTTTTATTTAATTATCTAGTCAGTTCTCAAACCTCAATTTCTGCAAGGACAGCCACCACTTCCAAGTCAGCTGCCACCTCAATCATTGTATCAGGTATGCCTTCTTTTTGTTATTAAATTTGGTGAATATGACAGTGCTATGTTGCTAGTGGTTCTTTCAGGGCTGGCTAGCATGATTATGAATGCCTATATCAAGAAGCTTTTTGAATCATTTTCTTTTCCACACAGATACAAATCCAATATATATTTATTCTGAAACCTTTATTGAGGTAGTGAGTAAAATCGTCAACCTGTAATCCTACCCCAGTCTTCTACTTTCAGTTTCTCCATTGTTGCCTTATAGAAGTTGTGATTTTGCTAAACTGTCTATTGATTCATAAAAATTCCTTGTATGACTATAATACAATGATTTCCTGAACTTGACGACAATCATGCCTATGGAATGAATCTATATTTCAGGTTGGAGGTTCACATTTAGGTACAGAATTCAATAGTCAGGTTGGAAACTCCATGCAAGCAGACAGGGGATCTGCTTGGATGCCTGGTCTGCCTGAGAATACAGCTGAAACACACCTTCCAGGACCACCCCCATTGGTCCCTGGTCTGATGGGAGCGGGCAATCAGCAGTCTCGTGCCCCACCGGTAATCTATCCACATAGTTTCTATATAAATAAAAAATTAAAATTATCATGATTGGCACAATGTTTTCATTTAGACTGACATTAATTTTGTGATTTTGCAGTTAAGCCCCGAGATGGAGAAGGCACTACTTCAACAGGTCATGAGCCTGACACCTGAACAAATTAATCTCTTGCCTCCAGAGCAAAGAAATCAAGTGCTTCAGTTGCAACAGATGCTGCGCCAATAAATTGACAAAAAAAAAAAAATTCAATTCTCCTCTGAAGAGAAGCAGTGGGGATTGACCTTTCTCTTTGGCGCTCTCATTTTGGCAGATATGGATATGCCATCATCTCCGGCAATCTCATTAAAGCTATGAACTGGACTCAGTCGAGAAGTCTGTTTGGCTGCTGCTATACCTCTGCTCATTTTGTGTTTGCCGCATTTTCTTTCTGAGGTTCTTGTGAACTTCAGTTCCTTGATTTTCTTTTTCCTTTTCACTTGCCTAATCTTAATTATTAGTATGTATGGATGCTTTATTTCATTTGGCTTTTGGAAACATTTGTTGAGTTTGGTCTGAAACGTTCAAAGGCGTCGTTAAATTTCCTTGTAGTCAAAGATTATTTAAAAATTTACTTTTTGGTAGTCAATGTGGATAAATAGTTCCATCCTTTCTGGGTAAAACAGATGATGATGTTGAATGAGTTTTTTATTTCTCACATTTTTCACATGAAAGGTTTTGCACGAGCTTTCTGAGGGCTGCAATATAAAATAATCGGAAAGAGACCAAGACAACTTGCAGAAAGTTCCAATTTGATGGCTAGTCCACTCATTTGGAATCAAAAGTAAACTATGATCACATCTCATCTCTTTTCTTCAAATTAGTTCCCACCCAATTACACGTTCTTTACCTTATTATATACGTTTTCTTGAAATTAGTTCCCCCAATTCTCCGTTATATATAGAAAAATATTTTTATTCTTCTAGAAAGTTGAGAAGAGCTTTTATTAAACTCTAATTATAAAAAATGAAGTATTCAAAAAGTTTAGATTCACTTTAAATTTGCATATTGATGAATTTGAAATTTTATACTCCATAATAAAGTGAATATGAATTTGTGATAGAAATATTTTGAACCCTAAATAACGATTCTTTTAACAAGCACCACCTCATAAAACTAATTTGACATCTAATCAACAACAAAAAAGAGAACGTGATGATGATTTGTCATCTAAAAACAGTACATAATAGGATGACTAACACAGTTTGATCTAAAAAAAAAAAAAAAAAATCCTATAATTAAATCATATTTTCAAATTAATGTCCAAGATATAGTGAATGTGTGAATATATATATATATTTATATCTGGGATAAGGTTTGAGATAATACGAGGATGATATATATGTAGATATAGGAGCATGCGGGACAACATAATGTGCGCACAGCTACAGCAGCAGCGTTCCAAATCCTATTTGGAAACTTAACCTTGTTTTGCCGCCAAATCCGTCGCCTCCCAACGGCCAACATATACGCTGCGGTGGACAGGTGGGACCCTCCCTCCAACGGCATTCCGATAACCCCTCTGATTCAAACACCAAAATCAATCAACTCATCCCATTTGTCTTCCATCACCACCGTCAATTCCCCTCCTCAACTCTCACACTTCCCAATCACCTTAGATGTACGCTTACGATTAAATCACACAGTATTTGCCACCACCTGATTATATCCAATCTTCTATAAATATACAAACACGCACAAACTCTCCCTCCTATCCTCTCACCTTCACTTCCATCCCTCTCCATCTTCTCCAACAACAACCATATAAAGAAAAAAACACCTTGCATCCCATTCTAGTCTTGTATATACAATTAATATTATACATAAACACACACACATTCATTTATATATATATTTATTAGGGTTGTTCATCATTTTAGGGGAGAGAGAGAGAGAATTCGATCAACACCATGAGCCCGACACAATTTACGAAGAGGGACATGAATGGGTTGTGCCCATCTCCTCTAAAATTAACGAGAGACTCGCATTTCATCAAGAAATCACCACCCACCTCTTCCTCATCCTCCAAATCATCCTTAGTCAATCCGGGGATGGCCACAACCAAGCCTCAGCCGCGCCATCCGGTGATCATATACACACATTCTCCCAAGATTATACACACGCACCCTCGTGACTTCATGGCATTGGTGCAGAAACTCACCGGGCTCACGCGGTCCGAGGACGATACAGCTGCTGATCATCAAGCTATGGCGAAACCGGGAAAAGATAGGTGGAAGCAGGATGATCATACAACGACGTCGTCCACCCATGTCAGCAATGATGACAGTGAATCGTCTTCGGTTATCACGGATGAGATTGGGAGCAGTGTGGGGGATGTTCAGGTGAATTCGAGCCCGGTGGTGCCTCCTCTTTTTGATCCTCCAAATCCATGTTTCAACAATATCCCACCGGTTTTTGGAAAGAACCCTAATGATTTCTTGTGCTCCAATCAACCTCCATTTTACAACTACACAGATTCCTTGTTTTTAATGCCTAATATGAGAAATTCTCTCTCATTTTCTTCCACTTTGGAAGACATCAAAGAGTGTAGAGAGTTTTAAAGATTTAATAATTTGAATTTTAGTAATGGTAAGAAGATCCTTTCTTCTCTCTTTTTTCTTTTTCTTTTTTCTTCAGATTTCACAGAAATAAAAGTTTTGGTTTTTATTTTATTTTATAAAACATGAAAATTAAAGGTGATTTTCTCAATCACTTTTCCAGACATATTATATATAGTTGTTGAATAATCAGATTCTTTTAAAATTAATTTCGTGGTGTTGTTTCCTTTTTGATTCAATATATTGTGTTTTCTTAATTCCATATAGCCAAAAAAAAAAAAAATCAGCAAGGATTGACCCCAATGGAGGAGTCGGACCTAAGAGATTTTGTTTTGTTTGATTCATTAATTGTCATTAAATATTAGAGTATATAAATGATAATTATTACAGTATTACTATTTTTTTTTTAGTGTATTCATGGAGATTAATGGAGTTGACATCCATTTTTGTATGTTGTTTGGCTCTCTCTCAATAAAAATATATATCTCAATATCACAAAAATGACAAAAGTAGTCACTTTAATTTTGGGGAATTTTACTGATCGATGAAGCATGTAAAAGTTAACAATTAATCTTCTTGTACATTAAAAGTAGTAATTAATGCGGCAACAATTAAGTAAGTTGTAACTAAAATTTAGCTCTTAATCCGCCAACTATATTATAAAGCGCAATCAGTTAAGGTGCTTCAACAAGAAGCTAGAGAAATATGAAAACCGGCAACTAGTTTTTTTTTTTTTTTTTTTGTAAACGGGCGCATGTGCAGTGCACGTGTTCCTTATCTCATTTTATTTCGTTTTTACATTCCATCTTTTTCTTCTTTGTATATAGTTATAATATGTTAGTTCCTCTTTTTCTTTTTTCTTTTTTCTTTTTTCCACTAACAGGCGTAGAAGATTCAAACTTCTCAGAGTTCAAGAAGGAAGGCTCACATAAAAATTTGGTTCCTTTACATCTGGATTAAAAAAAAAAAAAAAAAAAAAAAAAAAAAAAAAAAAAAAAAAAAAAAACACCAGTACCTTTCAAAGCCAAAAACTAAGCCGACTTAATCCATGTGAAAGGAAAATAACTATTAGATAGTCAACGAGACGGCGTTTACTTAGAACCTCAAAGAAAGTTTGGATTCGGAATCAGTACATCCTGATCTGTTCAATTTTGAATGAACTTTTAAAAAAAATTGAGATATTTGGACACATTTCGAACTGAACCGAACATGTCATATTGTTCCACCGAAAAAAATTCAAGTGCCACGTAAATGTTCCATTGGCAGCTATTTGTTTCACATCACTTAACATTATTCTTCAAAAAAAAATCTTTGTCCTTTATTTATTTTTATTTTTTGGTAAGTAAAAAAAAATTAAAAAAAAAAAAAAAAAAAAAAATCAGTTATGTCCCCACAAATAAAACCGTCATCTCTTGGGTTCGTGACCAGTTGTTTCTTTTAGTGCTCAATTTGAAGCGAACGGCGTCAAGCAAATTACATGAATACTACTGCCAAGGAATTACTAACACAAGAAGACAAGTATGCAGTTGAATGAAGTACATATTTTCGAAAATGACTTTCCTACACCTGTAATACCATGTCATCCATATCATCACTCAAATCTATCTCATTCACGCAAGTAAAAATGATCTACTTTAATATTTAATAAATTAATAATACCATGTCATTAATACCACCGTAACAAATAAAGTGCGTATCCAAATTTTCACCTACTAACAAAACCACAACACCAATTCAAAATAAAAATAAAAACAAAACCAAAACCACAACACAAAGCAAAAACATAAAACATCCTGACAGTAGAATCCCAATATCAGAGAGATGAATCATCAGAACACTTTCACGATAAAATGACCCAGTTTCCAATTAATTCAATATCCTAAACACATCAATGGGCGAATATTAATAGGTAACATACCCAGTATACCAAGCATTTTCATGAGGGAAAAAAAATAAATAAATAAAAGGAAGACCATATACAGTATACCTAACATTTTCCTAAAAAATGTTTCAAATTTTGTAGTGAGTACTGGGTAAGCAAAAGATGAACACAATTCCTGAGAATTCGAGGCATAATTATACACTAAAAAATAACTCTCATTATTCTGTTTCCTTTTCATCGTACAGATTTACACTCCTAGAAATGTCTCTAAGCCTCCAAGGTATGAAGAGCATCAAAAGATATTAAAAAATATATGTGCATGTACATTTACAAATAATTACATCACTTCTTCTTTCTGTCTTCATTTGCTCTTTCAAGAACAACAGGAGCAGCTGGTATGCTGAACCACCACTCTCTCAATCTCCTTGTCCATCTTTCCGTGCTGGCTCTTCTAGGAGGCGAGTACCTGGTAAATGCCTCCAAAAAGGCCAGTAAAACTGTGTATTTGATTGGTACAAAGGCCAGAACCAACGCCATTACCAAAAGAGCAACTGCAGATTTCTCACTTGCCTGAACATAAAGACCCCATGTAAGAAAAATGCAACTGTGGCGAGTGTTGAACTTATAAATTTTGAGACCAGAGCATATTTAAAACACTAATTACTAACGCTTCGGCACCAACAGAAGAACACCTTAAAAATCAAGAACAATTTGTTTTCTATGCATCAAACATCTTTTAAGGTTGCAACCCCTCTTAGGTTAGAGCCTCACTTATTTCTTCAGTGACTAATCTCCACATGCACAGAATGCTATTCTATATTTGCTAAATGGAACACTACCAAATAATAATAATAATAATAATTACTCGCTAAAAGCACAAGCTGTAATAGTTCCATTATTTTCTTCTATTTTTCAACCTGTTTGGCAATAAAGAAAAAAAAAGCCTTATGGGACATGATGTGATGCAGGAGACCTGACGTCTCATTGAGGAGCCATACCTCATACAATACTTTTCTAAGACATTCACCATAGAAAATATAAATAACCACTGTAGAATTTATTAAAGGGAAATATGTAAAGAGAAAAAGGGTGCAACCTATAAAGGGCAAAAGAAAATATCACCTGAGGGAAAATTGAAATGAGCAAGGCACGCAATTTGAGAAGAACAATGTTTCCGTCCTGGATGACCTCTTCAGCTTGAGAAATTACATTCTGAACAGCCAAAAGCTGCTCCATGGTGTTCATTGGCGGAGGTGCTATTACCTTGAGTCCATCAACTGGCCTTCCTTGACAAAAGCACCGTGTAAGTACCATGAAGACAGCCATAAAGATGAGCATCAATGCAAAGGCATAGCTCAGCCATCCCCTGCAAATGGATATCCAGTAAATTCAGATACAGCAGGACATGTTAATTTTTCTGTTCCCCTACTTCCGCTCCATCTTTTCATTACCTTCACTTCCTATAGTTCCTCATAACTACTGTTACACATACAAGCATACATATACGTGTGTGTGTGTGTGTGTGTATATATATATATATATTTCAAAGCACATGCTTTACCCTTTTCATGGACCACTTTATCCTTCTCACATTGTTGTATGTGTGCAAATATATGTGTGCGTGGGCGGGTGGGTGTGTATCAGCCTTGCTTGGTCCAAACTCAGACCCAGTCCTCTTCATAAAAAATATTTAAATATCTGTTACCTCTTTGAATATCTTCTCCATTTAGAAATTCAAATATATATGTGTGTGTGTGTGTATATATATATATATATTGTTGTGTTGTTGGTTGAGCTTTTATAAAGTACCACCCCTTGGGCTTTGGTTCAAATCCTAGGTTATTAACCAAAGAATTATTATTGCATCATTCCCACTTTTATTATAACTACTAATAAATCATTACATTCAGGCTAGCTCAGAGTTTCCCCAAAGCTCATCCTTCTGATTTTAAACCGAGTTTGAGCTACTTCAGCTAGATTAGCCAACCCAATAGACAGGCCTAATCTCAAGTTGCTATTAAAGCAACTTCCTGGAGTCATCCTGTCAAATATCTTTCATTGAGATTTCAACATACTCTTAAAATATATCTCTTCTCTTTTTCGGACTGGCAACAATGAGCTACACAAAATGCAGCAAAGGGTTTGTAATCCTCCACCATACCCTATCAAACACCAATGCTTCCCCATAATCTTAAAACATTTAGTTGAGTAACTAGAATCGGGGAACTGATTAATGACGATAACTCAAAAGTATCATAAGCTTTTCCTCGGGAAAAATGGCGAAAAAAAAAGAAAAGAAAAAACAACTCCATTATTCTCAAAAAAAAAAAAAAAAAATCTCCATTGCATCAGATGATAACATACATATATACAGGCTTAGGGGTGGCAATATTTGACACGACACGCTAACACGACACGAGATAAGCGGGTTAGGGTTTGGGCTAATCGTGTTCGTGTCATAATCGTGTCGACACGGATTGACCCGCTAACTAAACGTGTCGTGTTCGTGTTTGACCCTGTAAACACGATTATGACACGATTAACCCGATTAACTAAACGTGTCAGATAAACGTGTCGTGTTCGTGTCAAAAATGACCCGATTAGTAAAATATGTCGTATTCGTGTCGAAAATGACTTAAATGTGTCTTTTCGTGTCGTGTCAAGTCTTAACCCATTTATTAAACAGGTTATGCGTGTCGTGTCGTGTTACACGTATAATAATCGTGTCGTATTCGTGTCAAGGGTTTTAGACACGATTAATAATCGTGTCGTGTTCGTGTCAACCCTAATCGTGTCCGTGTCGTAATCGTGTCGACACGAACACGACACGCCAACACGAATTGCCACCCCTATACAGGCTGTTGAACTTGTCCTTCCACTTAACAAGAATATATATATATATATATATATATATATATATATATGTCATACTTCCAGGACTAGTACCAAAATTTGGAACTTTGAAATTTTGCCTAGTAAGATATTTCTAGAACTAGTAAATAACACCATCCCATAACAATGCTAGACCCAAAAATGACTAATGGACACGACTACAACCAGTCTAGCAAAACTCGAAATTATCAAAACGTGACAAAAATAAATACAAATGTACCAGCAGCACACCTACAATAGCATAGAACAAGACTCATAATCAATGAATATTAAGACTACAAAAAATCCAAACCACATCCCACAATCACTATGACTCAACCTAAATGCTGGAATTATTCATATATAGAATGTGAAATGCAAAATGCCTTATTCAAATGTTCAAGGCCTAACACCATGTTGCATTAGGTCAATATCAACTAAAAAAGAAAGAAATTTGACCTTATTATTGGTATCGTGTATTAAATTTGTCCAGATGACCACAGTACCACATTGCAGAAAATAAGTCATTCAGAAAACAATCTTACCTGCAAATGATATAAGTGAAAACCAAACAGAATGCCAACGACTTCAGAGGGTCTTCCCAGTATGCTAGAGAAAGAAGCCACTTCCCAATTTCTGAAGCAGGAGAAAGTAACTCCTGCAAATATGAGCAAATTTAGAAGTTAATACAAGATAAAATTTTCATGATTTCAGCCGTAGCAGGTAGATGAAAGGAAAACATGTAAAATATCAAGTCAAAAACACCATTTAGTTGAGTAAAACATTATTGGATTTCACATTTGTGTTTTTCCAGTCTGTTTACCAAATGTGAAAGTGTAGAGGTTGGCAAAATAATCGAATCAGAGAGAGAGACAGAGAGAGAGAGAAATATCTTTCAGTGCCCTACAACTATTTGGGGTTTTCAGTTATGCTCCTTTTCCAATCTTCCAATCACGTAAAGTATGTATCAAAATTTAAACATAAAACAAAACAAAGTTTTTGGTAAGTTATTGTCGCAACACCTTCATCACTGCCAAATTGGTGTCAATGCCCTCTACTTTAACTCCATCAACTGTTTCTTGTGCAAGCACCACTTTTTTATAGTTGCTTCTAGATTCTTTAACTGCCCTTTCTAAAGGAGTCATCCCTCCCACAGTGATCTCCCCCACAACAAGGCTAGCTTCATTAGGAACATTTGAAGTTGTTCCAAACACAAATCCAAAGTTAGAAGCCATAGCCAAAGCCGATATAGAATACATTCCGTTTCCAGCAGAAGAATTGTTAGTTTGGTCCCTTGAGGTTGACATGTTCGCAAGTGTTTCTAATATTAGGTCTCCACCTGGAAGTTGATTACAAAGATTGAACATGAGAAGAACCTCGCAGCAAAGTGGTATTGTAGAACTTATTTCTTTAAGGGACTGTACTCGCAGAATTCCAAGTATAGCCTTTAAAAGTACTTCATCCTGTTCAACTCCTGAAATCTGGAACTTGTGGATAAATCTATGGACGTATAATATTTCTCGAATGATGGCTAGCCAATAGTCACGACGAGTATGTCCTTTAAGCTCGGGAAACTCCATTACAACCGGTTCTGATCTACAGCAAAAACCCAAGAAAAACTTAATAGCATTCTCAGACATATGAAATAAGTTCCCATACCAAATAAATAATAGAATGGCATAATGTACAAAAATTAAATGTTGGAGAGTCAAACGATTAACTATGACCAGTACACAAAACAGATATGCATCAAGACTCACAAGGATATTGATTTATAAAAGACTGCCTTGTCAAAAAGTCTAGTTCCCCATGGTCCTGTCAACTCTGGTTTAATAACCTGTTTTAGATCATCAGATAAATCATATCTTTTGGCCGTATCATATGACACAACACGAAGAGCTTCAAAGTAGAGCGCATGATCTGTCAGAATCAATCGACCTGCAATTCACAGAACATAAAATAAGAAACTGTGCCAAACACTGCAGCGTAATCGTTGCCATGTATTCCCTTATTCAAGTTTGTTAAAGATAATGATTTTCAAATGTATTGACATAACATATATAAGAACCTGTGCCAAACACTGCAGAGTAGTCTTCACCATGTATTCCCTTATTCAAGTTTGTTAGAGATAATGATTTGCATATATATTGAAGATATGACCAAGGGATAAAGACATATTTCTATGGCTATGATACAGATGTTTGAGCTGAGGAAATAATGAAAATCTGAATTCCTCCGATGACTTCAGCATTTATTGTAATTAGAGCTACTATAAACCCTGAATGAATTCTTAATAGGTTATCCTGTTAATTTAGGTTCTTACATGCCTCTTTTCCTACCTTTTGGATTTTACAATCCTCAATAAACAGGAGGTCAATGTCCAAAATTGATTAAGATTTGTGGCCAAACGTCTACTGTCCACAGTACACTCCTTCTCTTTTGTCTTTATAGTATAATAAATTTCAAATTATAAAACTTCTATTCTATTTTGACCAATCATAGTACAACAAGAAGGCTTTTTTTTTCGCTCTTCAAAGATTGTATGGAATTTTTTGATTCAAACGAGCAGATAAGCATAATTTGTCTCTCTGCAATAGTTTGAGTTTCATCATGTGTTGAAAATTAACCAAATTTTCCAAACCGCTGAGCCAAGCCTGAACACTATAATACTGGGCTTGGCTTAAGCTTACACTCCTATGAATGGTTGTCCTCAGGCTCCAAAACTACATTCTCACACTCAACAATGCAAGCATTTACCATTTTAGTTCACCCCTTTTTGGTTAAAATAATACATACTCAACTACGACATTTTAAAGACCGAAGAGTTAAATTATCCCAAGAACCTACCAGGCCATGTAGAAATTCCCACATGTTGAAGAACCGGCTGGGTGGTGACTGTCCCATCCACTTCCAAAACCTTTTCCCCTCTTTCCGATCGTAAAGCCGAAAGGAGAGATGACTCCGATTGTGTCTGCAGTTTTCTTATTGCCCTGTAGAAAAAACCAATTCAAGATTTGAGAACTGGATTTGTGTCCCTCACCTTATATATAAATTAGTGGTGAAATAAATTATCTAATCCTGAAACTTAAGTGGACTCAGAAAAGCGTATATGTGTGTGTGTGTGTGTGTGCGCGCATGTTAGTTTAAGATAACATCGCAAAAGCCAAACAATATCTATTTGCTCTTTCGTTTTTGTGTATTAGGGACGCGTTCCCCTTTTGAACGTTTTTCTAATATATTTTTACTTATCAAAAAAAAAAAAAAAAAAAAAAAGCCTAACAATATCTAAAAACATAAAAAATGAAAATAAAAAATGATGCCATGGAATTCTTCTTTATCTTGGAGAATTCTTCCAGAGCTTCATTTGGGGTAATTCCCATATCTTCGTAACATGATGAGTCCAAAGCAAAAGGAATTCAATCAAACGGATGATTGCAGAAATAGTAGATGATTTGTTCGCTGTGATGCCAAAAACAACGTTATTAGTTTTAGGGTTATCATACCAATCACCAACGGTGTCTAAGTCCCACGGATTTGGGTTTGATGGTTAAAAGAGTGACATTTAGTTCAAAAAGGATTGCAATAGGGAGAGAGATACATCCTACTCCACGAAGGCTTGTCTAGTGTTCACGCCTAAACTAATAATAGAACGGTTACACTCGGTTCTTTGAGCAAGAAATACAATTAACTGATCTTATTTTACAAGAAGGGCCATATTTATAGTTGCTAGAAAACCCTGAAGGTACACAACTACGGATGAAGCTTTTAAAACTTGGAATACTGGATTCTATATCCAAATAGGACTCAAATAGTATCTTAATGGAAATAATTATTTTTTTTTCTTTTTGTTTTTATTTTTTTATTTTTTTTATAAGTATCTAATGGAAATATTTGAAGCTATTCAAGGATAGTACTGCTACACAACAAACGACTGTTAATCCACCAAATCAAAGTATCTTAGAATTTAGAAACTCTAGCAAAAAATATGAACTTATGAATATATATATATATATGTGTATATATATATGTATATATTTGTATTTGGTAAAGCGTAATTGGAAGAATAGGATTCATTAACCTGATCCCAAGTACAAATACCACCTAAGCTAGTAGTTAAAATCTATATCTATTAACAACAATGAACCTTTTTCTCATAATTTCTAGTGAAATTCTTAGAAAGTATATGTTGTGCAGAAGCGTGAAACAAATAAAAATAAATGATAAATAAGAGCAAAACATACACACAAAGAAGACAATGATTTACGTGGTTCGGCAATGTACCTACGTCCACGGGAGCTCAAGATCAATATTTGAAAATATCAAAACCCAAAAGGGTTACAAAAGGCTCACAACACTTATTGCTCACTCAACTCTCACTGAAGCTCATTCAGCGTATTGTTGGATATTTTACAAAGTCTTGCAACGTTCTCTATTTATAGGAGAACTGATGCATGAGTTTAGCTGATATGCCGATAGTGGAGTGCTAATAATAAGGGATGGTGGCAGACCCACGTCTGCCAAAACAATAAGAGTGGCAGACCATCCAAAACCAATATAACCCACGTCGCAAACACACGTCTGCCAAAACAGTGAGAGTGGCAGACCATCCAAAACCACTATACCAAATTTGAGCCAATAATAAGAAGTGGTAATAAGGGAGAGTGGCAGACCCACGTCTGACTCACGTCTGCCATGCCAACCCACGTCTACCATAATCAACAATCTCCACCTTGGCGAAAAATATGTATATCTTCCGAAGTGAAGTATTCCAAACATGACCTTGAACTGCCTCCAAATGCGCCCAAAGGCGCTCAAACTTGCAGGATGTTAATCAAGTCTACGCAATGCTCAAACTTGACCTTCGTTACAACCTTCGTCAACATATCTGCCGGATTATCCGCGGTCCCAATCTTCTGAAGGAGAATATCGCCTTCATCCAAAATCTCACGAACAAAATGGAAACGGCCATCAATATGCTTTGTACGTGAATGATAAACCTGGTTCTTTGCCAAACAAATAGCACTTTGACCGTCACAATAGACATCAACATGCTCCTGAATAATCCCCAAGTCCTCAATCAACCCATGTAGCCATATGGCTTCCTTAATGGCCTCTGTCACTGCCATGTACTCTGCTTCTGTAGAAGACAAAGCAACTGTAGGTTGTAATGTCGACCTCCAATTCATCGGTCCTCTAGTAAGTGTGAACACATGAGCCATGTGTGCACGTTCCTCATCTGTGCTTGGAGATAATGAAGCATTAATCTTGAAATGAAGGGCCAAAGGGGTACTTACAGGTTTACCAAAAAGATGTAGCACCTTCTTCAAATATTGCTTCTGAGACAAAAACAGTGCCCTTCATTCTATCTCTACTAATCTCCATTCCAAGTATCTTCTTAGCTTCACCAAGATCCTTCATCTCGAACTCAGTACTCAACTGAATCTTCAACTTATCAATTTCAACTTTGCTCTTAGATGCAATTAACATATCATCAACATATAAGAACAAATATACAAATGATCCATCACGAAGCTTACGAAAATACACACAATGATCAAAATGGCTTCTTGTGTACTGTTGCCCTTTCATGAACTGATCAAATCGCTTGTGCCATTGCCTTGGACTTTGTTTCAACCCACACAACGACTTCTTCAGTTTGCAAACCCAATTTTCCTTTCCAACAACCTTGAATCCATCTGGCTGAGCCATATAGATTTCCTCCTCCAAATCACCATGTAAGAAAGTAGTTTTGACATCGAGTTGAGCTAACTCGATATCAAACTGTATAACCAAAGCTAGCAAAATACGAATGGAATGCCTTTCGCCACCAATCTAGCTTTGAATCTCACATTGTCTTGCCCTGAAGAGCCTTCCTTCTTGTTGTATACCCACTTGCACCCTAAAGCCTTCTTCTCCTTTAGAAGCTAGACCAATTCCCAAGTCTGATTCGTATAAAGAGACTGCATCTCCTCGTCTATTGCTTTCTTCCAATCTACACTTTCTTAACTTTTGACAGCTTCTCTCTAGGTAGATGGAATGTCATCATCAACTATGGGTAGTGCGTATGCTACCATGTCAGTAAACCGTGCAGATTTCTTTATTTCTCTTCTTGATTTACCAATTGCAATAGAATATGGTTGTTGCGGAGTCTCCAGGGTAGGAGCCTCCTCCTCATCTATACCTGTTTCCTCATCATCTGTATTACTTACAGGTCTAGCTAGAACAATTGGAGCCTCAAGCTCCACCTGCTGCGAAACTTCTTTGGTCTTGTTCTGTGTAGGAGAACTTTTCAGCATCCAAGACTCATCGAATATAACATCCCTGCTATTAATGATTTTCTTCAACTCGGGGCACCAAAGTCTATACCGCTTTACACCTTCACTATAGCCCAAGAATATGGCTTTCTTGGCTCTAGGATCCAACTTACTCACTTTAACATGAAAATACGCAGTACAACCAAATATTCGAAGAAAATCATAATCTGTAGCAGGTTTCCTAGACCATACCTCCATAGGCATTTTGCCCTCATTTGCAGCTGCAGGCAACCTGTTGATAAGATGGCATGCGTATGTCACAGCCTCAACCCAAAATGCTTTGCCCAATCCAGCATTGGACAACATACATCTAACCTTTTCTAACAAGATTCGATTCATGTGTTCTGCCACCCCATTCTGTTGCGACGTGTCTCTGACTATAAAGTGTCGAACAATACCCTCGTTCTGGCATACTTACAAGAATGGGTCCGATGTGTATTCACAGCCATTATTGGATATGAGTCTATTGATTTTCCTGTCAGTCTGTGTCTCCATCATCTTCTTCCACTTCAAGAACACTTTTAAGACTTCATCTTTATGTTTCATGGAGTACACCCATACTCGTCTAGATAAGTCATCAACAAATAAGACAAACCAATGCTTACCTCCCAAAGATGTAACTCTGGTAGGTCTCCAAACATCTGTGTGAACATAATCAAGTATTCCCTTCGTCCGGTGTACTGGAGTGCCATACTTGACTCTCATCTGCTTGCCCAAAACACAATATTCACAAAATCCAAACTTGCAGGTCCTGACACCTTTCAATAGACCCTGTTTCACTAGTCCCTGCAAAGCCTTCTCATCTGCATGTCCCAAGCGTGCATGCCATAATCTGGTAATATCTGATGCATCTATCTCTGAACTATCTGCAACAGCTATTGTGCCTGTAACTGTATTTCTAAGGAGAAAATACAAGTTACTCTCCCGCGTATCCTTCATCACAACTAGAGCTCCATAGGTAAACTTCAGACCATTGCCTTTCAGCATGATCTCATAGCCTTTTGCTGCCAATGATCCAAGTGAGATAAGATTTTTCTTCAAATCCGGTACATACCGAACATCTTCGAGAACTCTAATTATTCCATTGTGCAACTTCAAACAGATATTTCCTATCCCCCTTGTTTGACAGGCATAATCATTGCCCATGAAAACAGCTCCACCATCCAGCTCCTGAAAACTAGAGAACCATTCCTGGTTGGGACACATGTGATAGGAACAACCCGAATCCAAAATCCATTCGTGAGAACTGGATCCAACTGATACAGTCAAAGCAAACTCTGCAGTTTCATCGTCATTGCTTACAATGTTGGCGGCAATCTTCTTGTCATCCCTGTTTTTCAACTTAGGACAATCCTTCTTCCAATGCCCTTTATTATGAAAAAAGGCACATTCATCTTTGGCAAGATTTTTCCTGCCCGAAATTGATGCTCCTCTCAATTTGGATCATTATTCATGAGAGTATTAGAGATATCAACATATATAATTTCTTCTTTTCCATACAGTAGTGTGGTAACAAGATGTTTATATGAATTAGGCAGAGAATTCAACAATAGTAATGCTTCATCCTCATCATCAATTTTAACATTAAAATTTTGCAAATCAGCAAGAATTTTGTTAAAATTGTCCAAATGCTTGGAGATAGACATATCTTCTTTATAATCACACCGGAAAAACTTCTTCTTCAAATAGAGCCGATTTTCAATGCTCTTTGTCATATACTTGTCCTCCAGTTGCGTCCAAAGCTTGTTTGCAGAAACTTCATGCATGAAAGGATATTTCTGATCCTTCCCAAGATAAAGCCGAATTTAACCACAAGCCTTACGATTGATCTTTTTCCAATCTTCTTCCTCCATTTCTTCTGGTTTCTCCACCCCCAAAGCAGTGTCTAACTTTTCTTGAGTCAGAACATCCAAAACTTCGCATTGCCACATGCTGAGGTTGTTTCACCCATCAAAATTTTCAATATCAAATTTTGCGATTGCCATCTTCTTTTCCAACGATCACGATCACCCCCAAAGAACTTGTGAATAGTATGCGGACAGAAAACGAACCTGGTGCTCTAATACCAATTTGTTGTGCAGAAGCATGAAACAAATAATAACAAATGATAAATAAGAGCAAAACACACACACAAAGAAGACAATGATTTACGTGGTTCAGCAATGTGCCTACGTCCACGGGAGCTCAAGATCAATATTTGGAAGTATCAAAACCCAAAAGGGTTACAAAAGGCTCACAACACTTATTGCTCACTCAACCCTCACTGAAGCTCATTCAGCGTATTGGTGGAAATTTTACAAAGTCTTCCAACGTTCTCTATTTATAGGAGAACTGATGCATGAGTTTAGCTAACATGCTGATAGTGGAGTGCTGATAATAAGAGATGGTGGCAGACCCACGTCTGCCAAAACAGTGAGAGTGGCAAACCATCCAAAACCACTATAACCCACGTCGCAAACCCATGTCTGACAAAACAGTGAGAGTGGTAGACCATCCAAAACCACTATACCAAATTTGAGCCAATAATAAGACGACGTAATAAGGGAGAGTGGCAGACCCATGTCTGACTCATGTCTGCCATAATCAACAGCATAAAGGTAAAGACTAGCTTAAACAAAATTGTATAAGAGAAAGATATATCCACCAATTTTCTTATGTTAGTTCTTAACTCTTACAGTTAGAAAATTCACCTTATAAATAATTTGAACTATCATATAAGAGAGGAAGATGTTGAACAAAAAACTGAATAAGCCAATTCACATAACTCATTGGCAATGTGTTCAACAAGAAAATTGGTAATATCCTCAATATGATTGCCTCAAGAAAAGAAAGTCACCAACAAACTAACTGCATTATTATCCCCCTACACTAAGGCAAAAAAGGAATAAGATGCAAGTACCAACCTTTCCAATCCACTAAGGTATTTTTCATAAATAGAGAACTGAAGCCGACCACCAGTTGATGCTGCAAGAACCTCAAAAAGATTATCACTGATAATAACATTGGCAATTATGGGAACAGCTGGCGCAATTCGAGAGAAGGCCTCAACACCAACACTGACATCCTCATCCATCTTCAACAAAAGAAGGGCCACAAGAGAAACAATCCAATGTGAGAACAGGATCTTACACAAGTATTCAGTATAGGCCTACCTTAAGAATAAATTAGAAGAAGAAGACAGCACAAGAAATGCAAATTTGAGAGAGAGAGAGAGAGAGAGGGAAAGATCCAGTCCGCAATAAAAACGATCGATAGTGTTTGAAGTAGTGTGCATATTCGTAACCATGCAAAAAAATTTAAAGATAATGAAACAAATAAACATACATTAACAAACGGTTGGCTGGCAGCAGCTGGAAACTCCCAAGCAAGCATCATATCAAATGTTAAACGTCGAAATTTTTTATCATCCAAATAGCCTTTTACTTGTGTAGACAGATCAAGAGCTCTGAAACAACAGTACTCCAAAAAGTTCCGTGCAAACGAAGATGGATGCTTTAGAGAATCAGAAGCCTCTGCGTCAAATTTTTCTCGAAGTTCACAAGTAGAAATGCCTAGGATTCTGCATCATTTTTGTTTTGTTTTCCACAAGGAGATTATAAGTACCAATAGGGCAAACATTTGGCACACATAAACTAAAGTACTGAAAATTTTGGGCTGAAAACAGGAGCATAGCACGCCATTCAATAAAATGAAACCAGCAAAGTCAGTATGTATATCAGGAACCCAATAACATGCAGTCCACCACTAAAAAATACAAAACCTACCATCACAAATAGAAAAAAATGTAAACAATGCAAAATACACAGTGTGTTGCAGTGCGCTTACTTTGAGCATCTACGAACCACTATATTTGCCACAGGAGAGAGCTCTGGTATCCAGTTCCTTCCAGCCGACGGAGACCTTCCAATCTCCTCAACCTCTTCTTCAAACGAACTCCGACCTTTAATCAACCATTTGAATGATCCTTCTCTCATCAAACCCTCAAGCATATTTCTGGTTCTGCTCACCATAGCCATCTCCAACTTTCCCCCTCCTTAAAAAATGAAACTGAAAGCCAGACACCCTTTCATTGCCTATAAAAACCTTGCATTTAAAAACTAAAATTTCCAATTTTAACAACTTCTATGCAATCTGTTACCCAGGAGTCAATAAACAGCTCATTCATCAATACCCAAATATCCAAATTCGCAAACAAAACTTTGAGATACTATAACTTCTCATGAATTACAGGTTATTTGCCAGGTACAACCTATCCATTTGACGCCCAAGCACCGTTTTTTTAGTAATATTATAAATCCCAAGTACCAAGATTTGCTACTGATAAAACTGAATTTATACAATTCCTTATGAACCGATCACAGATTATTCACCAAACACCTTTCTAATCCAAAAACCAGGTAAAAATTGTCCGAAAAAAATTATACTTCACAGGAAACACTCACCTGAAATGTACGATCACTCAAGGCCCAAAACCCCTACGTTGGCGCGCGAAAATTCACTGAATAACGCATTGAAAACCCAATCTTGAGATCATATGCAATGAACCCTTATCTGCAAAACCCGTTTCGCCATTTCTCGAAATCGGAAACCCTGTACGAAAGCGAAAGGCCAAAATAGGTATGACTTCTTCTAACAGCTTCATCTAAAAGGACAGCATATCCGATTCTACCGTGTTGGAGTATTCGAATTACATAAAAAAATAAATGAAGAAGAAAGAGATGATAATTGTGTGTTGGATAAGAAGAGCTATGATGCGCGAAGTGTGACGCACTGAAAAGGGGCCAATTTCGTCGTCTGCCCCTTTTCTGTATGGGTATCATCTGTAATAATGTTAAGTATTCTTACAGTATATTGGTTAAAAAATACTTATATATAATACTAATAAAATAAAATTAGTGAAGTATTGACGTGTAAACGTTGTCGTTTAATTAGCATCTAATCCCTGATATTTCTTTAGAAGATAAGAGGTTGATACCGCTAAATTACTAAATACTATTAAATATATTTAAAAATATAATTTAAATAAAATAAGCATCACATTAAATGAAGAAAATTTGAGAAATCAATTACGATTAATTTCATTGACATCCCTTCAGATTTGGTCAAATATCACCCTTAAACATATTTTCGAAAATAATTATCACTCACATTACAAATTATTGATCCATTTTTTACTCACACACCAATCGTTACTTGTACAATTATGATACAACATAAAATGATTTAAATACTCTTTAACTTTTTTAAAACAACTATTTAACATAAAGAATGATAAAAAAAAAAAACTAAAATATCCCTAAAACTATATATACATACAGACATATATATATATACACACACACTTTTGAACATATACATATATATATCCACCACTAGATCTGCCATTGCCCCTTCTACTGACGTTGTTACAATTTTATAACCATTTTTTAAAACAACATCTCGTATGAATGAGTCTTACATACTTCTTTTTTGCTTTTGTTTCTTCTTTTTCTTTTTCACATTAAAGCATTTGTAATTGCAGTTTGTAATGAAATCAAATTACATTATAAATCTTGTCGTTCTATATGTTAACTCAATTTACGGTATCATTTTTATGTAATCATATTTCAAAATAAAATTTTTATTTATTATTTTAACATACTATATAATATTATTTTCATTCCTAATCTTATTTTATATCCAAACTTAAAATAAAAAAAATACAACAACAACAACTTAGTTTCGTCTGAATTGTATCAAACATAAATAATAAATAATAAATATTTCAATTTCAATTAGTTTTTCAAATCCAAATCCTCATCGTGACCTCTCAGAATTGGTTAACAATCTTATAATGCGAGTGATAGTTATTTTCGAAAGGTATTTAAATCATTTTACATTGTGTCATAACTGTGCAAGTAACGATTGGGGTGTGAATGAAAAACGGACTGAAAATTTGTAATGTAAGTGATAGCTATTTTTGAAAGAAATTTGAGAGTGATATTTGAACAAATCTGAGGAGTTGTCAATGAAATTAACCCAATCACTTAAACGGGTGTAAAATTTTACCTAGGCTAGCCTAGTTGTTTCTCCTCTAAAATGAAGTGTGTGAGTTTTTTTGTCCAAGTATAAAACAAAATTAATTATCACTTAAAATTTCAGGATTTAAAATTTTGTTGTTAAGCTTTTCATTATTTCATTTACAGTTTTATCAAATAGCACTTCAAGATGGAGGTTAAATTGAAGGTTTAATTGGGTTAAGTACAAACAAACAAAACGAAACAAAACAAAAAAACTCTTATGTAAAAAATGTTTAAGAAACACTCCATTTTTTATAAAGTGCATATAAATCTTTGTGTTTTAAAAAATTTTAATGAATTTTTCCTGGTCGTCAATTTTGACCATTTTTTTATATAAAAAACCCAAAATATCCTTAACGGAATTTTAGGTATTTATTTAAAACAAAATTTAAATCTAAAATAATAAAAATTAAAAATAAATAAAAATAAGAATAGAAAAATAAATAAAATAATTTATAAAAATGCTCTTAATATTTATTTATTTTTGTTCTTTACTTTATTTATTTATTTTTAGGGTAATGTACATAAACACCCCCTGAGGTTTGGCATAAGGACAGGTAGATACAAGTTAGTCTATTTTTGGACAATCACACCCCCTAATCAGAAATTTGATCCAAACAGCCCCTTAAATTTGGTAAAAAGTCAAGATTGCCCTTTAATATTTTATTAATTTAAATTATAAAATATCAAAACTTTTAAATGACTCTTTTACCCTTATACACTTATTACGCCTATACATACATCTATATGTATATATCTATATGTATATTATAAACTTATCAAACCTAGACCCAAAACTTCAGCCATGACACCACCTCCACACCTTCCAACCACCGCCCGATGAGCGGTTCACCATCTCCTTCGTTCATATGTCGGTTACTTATTTCACCGACACCTCCATCCTCCAAGAACCCCTCAAGTAACTCCTCCTCAGCCGCTGTCGCAAATTTTCGGCGTGAAACGGACAGATAAAGGATTGACAGAGACGTACTCCCCATGAAATCGGTGGTTCCGCCACCAATAAGGGTTATTGTGAGCTGTGTATGTGAAAGAGAGCTTGTAGATGTGGTCGTTGTTGGTAGGAGGTGAAGCCGAAGCAAGGGTTAGCAAATGTGGCTCTGGTCAGTTTCTAAGGCCGAGAAATTGAGGTGGTTAGCACCGGTGGCAGATGGTGAGCACCATAACCTCGTTTGCAACTTACGAGGGTTTCATGGAGGAGGTGGTGAACCCCAACGGCAGACGGTGAGCTCCAAAAAAACGTCGCTGAAAAAAGAGCGTGTGAAGGTGTGATGATGATGTGCGAGAAGGGTGAACCCCAACAGCTAAGGTGTGATGTTGTGGCAACGACGGCGGAGGCGGAGGCGGAGCGGAGGTGTGATGATGGCGGCGGTGGCAGTTTTGATGGTCAACATAGTGTGTGTTATATACACATACACAGAGAGAAAGGGAAAGTGGGTTCTTTACACTGTTAAGATTGTTCGGGTTTAGGTTCTTAATGGGTTTGGGTTTGGGTTTAATCCAAGGGTATTTAAGTAAATTAAAATGTCAATTTTATATCAAAGGATAATAAAGTCAATTTACCATTGTCGGGGTCTCTTTGTCCATTTTATCAAACTTGAAGGGGTGTGATTGTCAAAAAATGGGCCAACTTATATCTATCTATCCTTATGCCAAATCTCAAGGGGTGCCATTATACTTTACCCTTATTTTTATCTTGTCTGAAGAGCATTTTAGATATTTCAGTCTTCAAATTGAAAAACTATATAACTGGGGTTATTTGCACTTTACTCTAATTAATTATTAAATGTATATAAAAAATTTACTGAATACAAAGATATACATTCACAGGCTGAAGGTATATTATATATACTTACAAATTACTGACATGGCTGATGTGTCATACGTTGTCTGCAAAACTTTGATGTCAAATATATATATATATATATTTTTTTTCAAGGCAAGAAAATTTCATTAGCATAAAGCACAATCAATCAATACATTCTAGTCCCACAATGTCCATCAAGGAGGGTGGAAAAGATGAAAGAAAACAGACTGACTCTTTAACTCTCATAGCATACTGGGCTAACTAATGAGCCGCTTTGTTTCCCTCTCTATGAGTGAAATTGATTGAAAAGTCGACTCTCTGAGAGAAAATGAGCTGGATATCTTCAATCACTTGCATCATCAAAATAGGGCAGTTCTGATTGCCCAGAACCATATCAATCACCCTTTTGGCATCCATCTCAAAAATCACTCTTTGAAAACCCCAATTTTCTACCCTTAGCATAGCATGTCTGAGAATGAGGGTTTCCTCGAGTGCAGGGACTGAAACATGCTTTGAGAATAAAGTAGAGGCCGCTAACAACCATCTATTATGATCTCAAATCACCAGACCACCAGCAGCTTCAGTAGGAAAGCCATGAATAGCAGCATCCACATTAACTTTTAAAATACCAAAAACAGGTTTAGATCATTTGATATGCAATGGGGACAAACTCACCGGAGACATAGCTCGATCAGAAAAGAAGGAGGAAGGGTAAGCTTTAACAAACTCCCAAAAATGACTCACAGCAATGTCAATAATCTTTTGTTCCGACCACCAAACCTTCTCATACAACATAGCATTCTTAGCTTTCCAAAGATACTAATATATGGAGGCTACCAAACCTATCAAAAACTCATTGACTTTATAATTGTCCCATCTCTGATTCAAGTCCATCCACCACGCTGACCAAGAACTACCTCTGATAGTAGCAACCTCCACTCTCAAGGGGTTGCACTTCCAAATAGCTCTTAGACAATCACAAAGCAGGTGTTTAATAGTTTCTATATGTAGACCACACATCATACACCACCCAGAGTTCACAAAACCTCTTCTTAATAAGGTCTCTCTAACAGCGAGCTTTTCATGGAAGCACCTCCATATGAAATGTTTTATTTTTGGCTTAGCAACCATTCTCCAAATTTTGGGCCAAAAATAGTGAATTTCTCTATGACAACTACTTTCGATATTATTAAATAAAACACCTCGAGTTGGATGCTTTAACTGAAGAGCCACCCAATAAGTAGATTTGACTGAAAAATTGCCGCCGCCCCCCCCCCCCCCCTCCACAACCAAATTTGCCTATCCCCTTTGTACAGTCTGATGGAGTTGAATCTGTAAGAAAGAAGGAACATCATTTGCTGCAAAAATTTGAGAAATCAACCTCTCATCCCACCGTATAGGATCCTCAAGAATAAGCTGTGATACCCATCCAATAGATGAGTCGTGAATCCATAGGGAAAGCTTAAAAGAGATATTCCCAAGAATTTAACTATCTTTCCAACAATTGATCTCTCTACCATTGCCAACTTTCCACAACAGGCCTTTCTTAAGAACACCTCTAGCTGCCAAAATATTGCTCCAAGCCCATGATGCATTATGAGTTTTAGAAGCTCTCATGAAATCTGTGAAAAGGAAATACCTTCCTTTTAGCAGCTCATAAACCAGACCTTGTTTCTCCACCTGCAATCTCCAACCTAACTTAGCTAATAACGCTAAGTTGAAAGCTTCCAAATCTCGAAAGCCAAGCCCTCCGCAATTTTTTGGTTCCACCAGTTTATCCTAAGCAATCCAGTGAGTCTTGCGACGCTCCTCGGACCCTGCCCACCAGAACTGCGACATGTGCTTTTTCAAACCATTACATAAATTTTTTGGCAATTTAAAGCAAGACATAGAGAAAGCAGGAATTGTTGT